TCTCTCTCTCTCTCTCTCTCTCTCTCTCTCCCATGCGGAGAGATGGATGGAGAGCCTGACTCACCAATCCAACCGGCCTTTCCAGCTAAGCTAAAGCATAGGTGGGTTTCGGAGCACATGAAACATGAATAGCAGACATCATGAGGCACAGACATAAACGAGTACGTGGGGCTCAGCGAATGAATAGATAAGAAAGAGGATGCAGCGCTCTTCTTCAGAACAGTCAATGATTCGAAAGAAATCATATAAGAAAAGGGGCAAAGTGTTTTCAAGAGAATATGGATAAGATTGTTGAGTTGCTGCATGGAAAAAATATGGCAGTCATTTTATCTTGAGTTGTGACTGCACCCAACATAACAACAGCACATGAAGATGCTGGGAGGTGGGGGGGGGTTGAGGACATGTTCCAATGTCCTACGCGGCTCTGAGAGATGAGACATGAACCCACCACCATCCCATTGACAGCCGCCCATTTGGAAGTCTCCATCACATGCGGCTCGCTCGTCTACTGTCATACTTGCGTCGTCAAGTGACTGCTCTCATCTCGGTGATGAAACAGTATGAGTTGAAAACCCTGCATGAAAGAAGCTTCAACACATTTAGCATGATAGTTAGCCCGATGTGATGTGGATGCAATTATGATCAGAATCATGGCATACAATATAATTAGGAGCATTCATAGCTGCAGATCTCGAAAGAAAACTTCCATTCAACACCGATTTAAAAACACGTTGAGCATTAGAAAGGATGTAAAAAATAAAGACGTCATGTCCTTTTCCTGACTGCAAAACGTATTACTTGGAACACAAAAAGAAAACAACAAATTTAGCAGTACTGTGGTAGTGGTTGGTTCCTTTGATAGCTTTTCATCCGATTAGATAGGAAGGCATATTATAGTAAGAAGAATTTCCCCAAAGAACAGTTGATCCTTGCTGTGTGATGAAGTAAATTATAGGTCCAAATGAGTGGTAGATGCGGTTACAGTAGTGGTTGGTGGGAGAGAATCCAACAGCTTAATCTAAGCGTTGTATCAGAACATCACCAAAGGAAGAAATTGAATTTGACAGTCAAATTTTAATTTGAGATGGGATAACAGGTTGTAACAAGGGATTGAAACAACTGATATGGTTCCTGGAGATTACATAAGCTTTCTCACCGGATTAAGCGGCGCGTCAAATCTACCCTTTGTAAGATTATCTCTAACCATGTTCTTCAAAATAAGCATTTTTCTTTGTAACAACAGTTTCCTGTGACTCGAATTGTTGTTGCACGTTTTGGTGCATGCTGAAGGGACTGTCCTTGCAAAACTCAAGAGTGGAAGAAGAATCGATCCTGTTTTTAAAGGTCAAAAAATAAAAAGGGGTCATGAAACAATTAACAGACATGAGCAGCGCGGGCCGACAACCATATATGACGGCCAGTTAACGACGACCAGCCGACAACGATGCGGAGTCGGCATCTTGGTCTGGAAGAATGCTATACCCCTTACCTGTTGTTTATGTTGTTTGGTAAAACACGCATCGCACTGCTACGAACGTGTCTGGATGCTGTCCCCACCGTAGATGCGCAGTTATCTAGCGAGTCTAAAATGTCAAAAGAGGCAAGTAAAGACAATACCACTTTGGACGCGGTCACATCAAGGATGCTGATTCTTCCAAATCCTGAATCAACAGGCACAATAGTCGAGAAAGAATACAAAACTACTTGATTCAACGAATGGAGGAAAGGCAGCATTGCTTGGCGTTCGAAGGCCAGCTCAACTATTGGGATGTGGTGAGCCCGCCAATGTTCAGCACACAGTTTCTGGGCAGCCCTGCTCTTGGTTTTCAGCATAACCAGCCAACGGCGACCGGATGGAGATGGTTTCTGCCTGACATTACCTGGAAGAGGAACATTTCCAATCGTTGTGTTAGAGGTAAGTATTCACTCAAAGCTCACCACAATGTATCATCTTTACATCCACCAAGGATCAAAATGGATGACCTTTTGAAAAAGAAAATGTTTTAGCCAACTACTAGGCGAAATTATGTCATCCAATTATTTACAGGAGACAGAACCTCTGTGAATCTGCTTTTATCTCTTATCTACATCTTGGCTACAAACTTATCTCTCCTCACTGCTCATTTTGAAATGGCCAGACAGGATTTGCTACAAAACTTGTCTAGTATAAAGGTCATCTTGGACCACATAGCTTACCATGAATTAGCTCTGAGCCAAAACAATTACAGATGACGAGATAACAGTGGTCATACGTGAAGAAAAATTTGCACTTCAAGCTGAAAATAATCCAACATATCCAGCAAAAATTGCCAAGATGAATGATAACACATATGCACCGGCAACAATTATTGGTTCTGTAATTCCACACAATTCAAAGTGATGGTGGATAGGTGCCATCAGAAAGATGCGCCTTCTAGTCCCATACAAGACTTCTGTGGCCTTCTTGAAGAGAACCTGCAGAAAATAACATGCTTAGAATGATGCAATAATTTAGAAACAGGCATGGGATGACAACAATGCTTTCCATCACTCTCAGAATGAAGGTATGTCCCCCGAGTGCAAGAAAGATACAGCATTGAATGCATTTGCACAGGTTAAATGTCTACCACCCGATATTTCCCAAGGAGAACTATCTTAACTGAGTTTGTTTATCATATGAAATTGTCATGATCTGACTGGCGAGGATCAGTTTATTTTTCTCATTGTAACAGGTTAATGTATTCAAGCTAAACATAGTTATTTCACTTGTGCTAGAAGAGAATTATAATGATGGCCCAAAATTAATATAGGCCTAAGTGATCTATTAAATTAGTATAGGCCTGAACAACATGGTCCAAAATGTTTAAATTGGCAGTAGTATACCTACCTAGCATCATAAAGTAGCTCAAACCTTATCCCACTTGTAGTGTGTGACAAAACTTGTACTAGGAGAACAATGATATTTCATGAAGACATTAACACAATCTCCTCAAAACAGATAAAAGTGTTACATCCTTCTGTAAATAAGTAGATGAATCAACGTTTAATGACAAACAGCACTAACAGGAAAAGATGTGGAAAACATCAATGGGAGACAGCCATATAATAAAATCACAGGGCCATCGTATTCCATAACTATGCTAATATTGAGAGTTGATAATGCATCAGATAAAGGACAAGCTTAAATCAGCATACCTGCACTATGACTGATAGAACTTCCACCAAAAAGGTACCAGAAGCTATGAATAACGGAAAGAACATTCCTGACAAAGCAGCCATTGCAGCTAATGCACCGCCCAGTGCCAAAGATCCAGTGTCTCCCATAAAAACGGAAGCCTTGTATCTGTTATGAAATAGAAATCCTACACAGGCTCCAGCCATTGAAGATCCAAAAACTGCAAGATCTGTTGGGTGATGAAACAGTAAAAATATTGTTAGCTTTTTGGAACCTAATAAGAAGATAGTTATGTTGAATTTAAATCCTCTAATCACAGTCCAAACATGTTTTCACAAGTTGGCCAAATTGGCCCACTGGCTCAAAAACCCAAAAACAATGGATCTTTAAATACTTAGCTCAACTTGCTAAACCCACAATATTAGTAGTAGTAAGCCCATCAAACTTTATCAATGTAACTGACCTCCCTTTTCTATTTTCGGACTAACTGAGAAATCATACTCACAAGTCACAAGCTTGACGTCTTCATCAGGACCCAATAACAAACACATCCCTCACGTGCCATGTGAGGCTCATTATCCAGTGGTGGTTATTTCATCATTTCTATAGATAGCTCTTTCTTTCTTTGAGTCACTTACCATACACGCATACTACTAGGTCCTATTAGGTGCAGTCTAATATCAATTGTCATTGTCACAACCCAATCCGAAAAACCAAACCCACCAGTAAAAATATGATTATAGTGGGTCATCAAGCATGTGGCTAAACATATGTTGCAGGTATATAAGCCCATCAAGCCTTATAGACCAACATAGCCCACTTTCCGCTTTTGATATGGAGTTACCACATGTCTATTTGTTGAAGAAATCAACAGTCATAGACATGAGAGCCAAATTGAATGTTAAATCAGCAGCTATGGTCTCATTTACGTGTAATGCTCTGTGGGCATATCTTTTTTAAGCGTTAATGTACAATAAAATGCAAGGTGCATTTATCAAAGAAAAAAAACAAGACACTAGAGCACATATAAAGCAAACTTTTCTCCCAAAAGTCTCCCTATCAGCACTAACACTAGAAGTCTTAATTGCAAGTCAAACAAAAACTTCTCCTTGAGCTATAATTTATAGCAAGTGGGATTGATCAAGAGAACGAGCATGCACAACAATGACCATAAATTTGCATTGAAGAATATTGCATGCACCTGAACAAAGTATATAGACAAAAATTTTGTATAAAATAGTTAGTACAGAATAGTATTACATTTGTTCACGAAAAGTGAAATATGGAAACTTCGGATAAGTGCCAAAAACATCTTTGACATTAAATTGCCAGTTATCATACTTACCAGGACATATTGCAAGGACAGCTACAGACATCCCTATAAAGGCCAATGCAGCGCACCCGCCAGCCAAGCCATCGAGTCCATCAGTCAAGTTAACACCATTGGTCATTGAGGCAAAACAGAATACCGTCAATACTGGATAGAACTTCCCCAGATACATTATTCCCATTGGAGGAGGAAGAGGAACCAAAAATTTCCTTCAATCAAACATCAGGAAAGTAAAAAAAGAATCAGGATATACACTATATCTGACATAACAGGATGTGGTATTCATCATCACAAGGTTCGGGGAGAAAAGAACAAAAGAAGGATGTGTGAGGAATAAAGATATAGCAAAGGAAACAACCTTAGCTTCCTGCAAAAGTATCACTAGTGTCCATTTTGAAAGCAATCAAAATCCAATATCCATGCTATATGAGAAGCAAATAAGCACAGTGCAGCACAGAAGTTGTATCATGTTTGTTTGGAAAGAATTAGTTGCTTCAGAAGAAGAATATATTAAATCTTATTCAATTGGTGGATGATATCTTAAACCACAACTCATAGACTTCACAACAGAACTCCTACCTTACAGAAGGGATATGATCTAAATTTTCTCTCGATGATGGAGTATAAATGAAAGCATGATGCTTGCTAAAAGAACCAGAAAATATGTAGATTATTATCATTTAGTATTCTCATATACAAGTTATTGTCTTCTTAAGTTACCCTCAATACCATCTCAAATGGTCAAACCATACAACAAATCAGTAACACATCTGTATGTAAACCAAATCATTCTCCATCCACATCCATCAATATCAAAGTTTAAAGGAAGAATTAATAACATTGACAAGGAAACACAGATCTAAACAGGTGGGGTAGTGGATCGATGGAATATCATGCTATGACTAATTGTGCCAGTTGATTGGTTGAATTGGCCATATTTATTACAGTTATCTATGATAATTTTTGGGGCATAACTGGACTAATTATAATCCCAGTTCTAATAATTGTATTAAATGCGAAAAGACTTTATACAGTATAAGCAATAAGAGTAACAAAAAGGGAAGTAATCAGATCATTGTTCACCACCCAAACATGATGATCTTGCTGGTTACAAGAAACTATACATGTTGTATGGTGTTGATATATGTGCCGAGTCCAACCAAAAGGAAAACCATGTTGCAGCAATTACCTGTCAACAGCCCCAACAAACATAATCAGATAAAAGCATCTGGGAACTGACATCATTTGTACACTATATATGATGCGTGTGATTTCTTTTAAAGCAAAAGTCATACGAATATAGAGATGGAGAATTGTACCTGCAAACCTAATTTTGCCCAGCCTGGCAAGCCATAATTATGACTCTTAATACAACTTAGAAGATCATCAAGCAATCCAATTGCTGCAAATGCAATAGTGGCGACTGCTGCTCCAGAAACAGCAGTAGACCTTTCACCAGCTTTGATACTAGCAACAATGATACCGATAGGTACGAAAAATAACCCACCCATTGTTGGGGTTCCCCTTTTAGACGTATGAGAAGCTGGCCCTTCCTTCCTAAGGACCTGATGAATCCTCATGCTATCAACGATAGGGACAAAAATAAATCCAGCAAATGCTGACAAAGCTGCTGATAGTGTGAAAGGGTGTGTTAAGAAAAATGGCTCCAAGGGCATCCTCACAATCCGCCATGAACACCAATCAAAGAATAAAAGGAACACAAGCAGGAAGGCTACCAAACTCATGCTGATTAAAATTCCCTTTTGTGTTCTGACAATGGAAGCATCAACAAAACCAAAGTCAGCAATCGAGGAAAAGAGTGCTGTGGATGCCTATTCAGAATAAACAATTAATTTGATGCATTGAAAAATATTTTTCCTGATAAAAGCATAGGAAATATTATGCAAATATCTACATAAGTGTAAAGAATTTCATGTTGCCAAAGATAAACAAAAATATGGTGCTCATAAATGTTTTGTTTTGTTGTTTTTATTTTGGGCATTGTTTATGTCAAAAGTCTATGCAACTACTTACAATCCGTCATCTAACTTTTAGATGTTCAGTTGTATCTTAAATTGTTAGCTATCATCAAGTACTATTTGTTACGTCATGATGTGTGATTTCTTACTATGTAGGTCTTTTACATCACACAGCGTCTTAATGTATATTTACATTATATCAATTTAATTTTCCTGTCAATTCTATTGAATCTTTTCAATTTTAATCATAGGCCTATGCGCTAACTTTAGTGTATAAATGATGCAACCGTGCCCGACCTCACTGACAACCCCAACCAAAAAGAAACAAAAAACATGTTAGCTCCACTACTGCAAATCTCTATATGTTCAGTTGGTTTGCAAGTCGAAAGTTGCTCACTTGAAATGCATATTTTAGGACAAAAGATGTGCCACAAGAAATCATAAATTTATACTTTCTAGTATTTGCACCAATATAGTAGATGATGATCATCAAGACACCTGGAGGTGAGAACCAAGAATGAGTACCAGGAAGAACATCCTTATAAGTGCATAAATAGTAAAATGCATAAAAGTTTATAAATTTTTCCATTTTCAGAGAAAAAATATAAAGGAAAAGGTGCACAAGAAATTACAAAATTTTCATTTCTAGAAAAGGATCATTAGAGGAAATCAACAAAAGCATGCACAAATGTAATGTACAAAGTAGTCAATGAGAAGACATCCTAGTGATAAAGGCACAACATGCAGAGTATAAAAGTCATAAGTTCAGGTTCTATAATAAATGTCACGTACGCATGTTATGTAATATTTTAATGGAACGAGTAGTTTTCTTTAGAAACCAAAAATGTGCACAAAACATTGCAAGTATTGTACTTATCACATATACTAAAGATGGCAATGCGACTCATGCTCATGGTACAGCCAAATATGGTCGGGTAACAAGTCAGGTGAAGTGAGGCACACCGAGTAGTTTGCTAAAAATAACTTGATGCCCAGTCTAAATGTCAAATAAAAGTAGTGAAAATAAATTGCATGCTACAAGATGTTATGATCTATAAAACAGATAATGCCTGTTATGGCAAATGTATCTCCTACCAATCCATTTGTCAACCATTAAAAACTTCAGAAGATTACTTCAAGAATTCGTTCCAGAGCTCTTAATCAGAAACACGCACCTTTTCTTCCTCCGCCCTCGAAGGGTTGCAAAACGGTGGGCGGCCACAGTTATAGAAGAATCGGGAGTTTCAAAACGTTCCTTGTTCGATCTCAATTCGACATCAGCGGTAGGTTGAACAATAAGGTCTGCGTCGCTGTCTTCGTCCTCGCTTGAAGGATACGACGAATTCCCCCCCGAAGCCCCGTTGCTGTCTTCCATAAGCGTGGGAAGGCCCGAATCCTGAAACGCAAATCAAGCATGGAAATAAGATTGGCCTTCGATTCAGGACGAAATAGAACCCTAAATTACCAATAAACGGAAGAAGAAATAGGAAAAACCTCATCAAAAGAGAAAGCAAACGGAACGAATGACCGTCGTAGCCTGCACCTCTGCCCATCGAATCTGAATCCACGTCGCTGCACGAGAGAAAAAGCGGAAAATCGAATTCAGGAAGATTCAAACGAATCAATAGCTAAAGCAATCGGAGACGAAATAGGCGAGCGCGGAATACTAACAGGAAAGATGGATGGGAAGCTGGCAGAAGAAATCCGCCCTCTCGTCGACGCGGGCGAAGCGGAGATGCTTAGGGTTTGATGAAACCCGAGGAGGACGAGACGGGTAGAGCACATGAGGAGGATGGCACCGAGGAATCGATCGGAACGGAACAATGGAGTCGAAAGGGGGCGGAGAAATAAATGACGTCGGGGTATTTATAGGCCAAAATAAAGTCCTCCGCATTTGCACCCCTCCGCGGCATCGAAAACGCAAAGCCGGAGCGAACAGCGACCTTCTTCTGTTGGCGACAAAGAGAGATAAAAGTGACGCATCATCGAATGGACTGCGGCCCGCGGTTGATTTGATGTGTTTGGAATCGCTCGTCCGGTAATAACGTGAAATCCACGGGTCTCGCTTTCCTTCGCTGCGTGATCTGCGTTAAAGATCTGCAGCGATCAGGATTTTTTTTCTCGTGCTATCATCCGTCTGAATCAGATTTTCTATGGCCGTGCGGGTTTAGGGATTCGTTAGATCAATTTTGCATTCTGATTCTTAGGTATAATTTTTTATATTAAATTTTTATAATTATAAAATTAAAATATCTATATCGAAATATAAAAAATAATAATTTAAATATTTCAATCGATAAATAACATTTGTGATGATGGACGATGGACGTGAGGATAAGAAGAGCGATGACAAAATATGTGGGTGTCGTTGGGGGACGATATCTGTAATTTTAATATTTCATCATCACGTTAATTGATGGTGACGAATGATGTATGAATGACTACCGTAGATAACAAGAGCAATAACAAAAGAATTACTCTGCAAACACAAATGCATAGTAATTCTTATCTCTCTCATCTTTTCTTACCTACGATAGTCATCCATAGGTATCAAATATTATCATCCATCACTATTGACGTTATCTTTCATTATCAATTGAAACGTTATTTATTATTTATTATTATATATTTTTTATCGATAAAATCAATAATATTATGATAAATGAGTCTAGAGTTTCAGTTTAATAACTATAGTATTTTTAATATAAAATTTTAAAATATAAAAACAGAGATAGAAGATCTAACTAATATGAAATTAGCTGCGAGTTTTGGCGATACAAGAGAGATGGTGATGGATTTTTAAGTGTCTGACCATTGTGGCCTCGTGCTTGACTGTGTCACGTCTATGATCCATGACATTTGGATGATATACTTGGATAGAATTAATTCTGAAACATAAATTACGAGAATATTATGTGACTGTGGGGAGTGACAAAGATTGCCTGGCAATGCCACCAGCGAAAAGGAAGTCAGACTGATCGAATCAGCCGAGTGGAGTTTCTTGGTTGATGTGTCCGGTCAAAGACGGATGGGAAACCAACACACGTGGACCCCAATCGTCCCCGGTTCCCTCAAACTTTTAGTGGGTGATTCGGTCCGGCCGAGCAGAAGTGTCCGTTTTCAAGGAACTTTTGGGCCTCAGATGGATCCTACAAGTGGGCCCATTATGCGAAGCCCGCCGCAACCCTCAAGCTAGCAATGCTCTTTCTCCATCGGTAGCTTTTGTTTCACTTTTAAACCCTTTTAGAAAAAAAAACTAATATATTGACACTGTTAAATCACTTACTCGATGAATAACTGTTCCGTACTTCTATTAAACTGTTTTTTTGGAGACAAATGGATAAGAGCAAAAACATGGAGGAGGAAGTAGATTGAGACCACTCAAATTCCCAACAAGTGCGTGCTTCACCGATGAAACATAATTTAGCTCAAGCTTGTTCGAGCTGGTGATGAGCAACCCAAAAAACCAAGCGCTTCAAGAACGTGATTGCTATATTTGACCAACAAAAACAAGATTAAGTGATTCAGAGAACATGATGTGCTCACACCGTCCACAAAAGAGAAGAGGGGCAGGACTTGACTTAGGAAGAACAGTCCCATTGTGCATAGTCGAAACAGAGTTCGGAATGCGCTTCAATTATTGCACGAACTAAACAAAATAAAGTTTCTAATGGAAGGTGAGTGAGTGAGGCACCCGTCAAACTTAATGGCGACATTTTGTAGGGCTCCATGGACCACATGATAACTTGGGTCAACTCCCCCACTTTACTTCCAAAATCACTCAAAAAGCGGAAAGATTAGATGCATCCTGTCATCTAGTTGAAGTCTTCTTCCCATAGTCAACAAAAAGAACCCAACTTCTCAGCGTTTGGATGGTCAAAAACCTGACTCTCATGTCCCTTCTTGAGAACTCCTTTCTTGCGCTGTACCTGCTCTTTCCACTGCCCGATTCTTAAAGAAGTGGAAGAGCCAGAGCTGCTGGCATTGGCCCGTGACAGAGAGAAGGCGACACAGATTTGGCATCGCACTGTATCGCAGTTCACTCACATTTGGCTCTCCGGTATCCACCGTGCCTGGCTTCACTCCATAATGCACCGTATAAGACTAGTAGCACAACTTGACAAGCACTGTGTTGGTGCTCCACTATGGCTTGGCCCAAGCACCAGTTACCATATCCAAATCACAGAACAACGATGGGGGTAAGACTCCGCACAAAACAGAACCGGGTGCGGCTCACCGACTCGATCCGTCTAAACGAACCGGTGAAGCTCGTTTCTCGGTCCCGCTGTGGGTGGGGAAACCTTGAAATCTCGTCCCCACCGATACGGAGTCCAAGCTGGTGAGACGATCTTATCAGCTGACGCAACGAGACAAGAACGCCATGACGGAGCACATGTGCCATGTGGCCGACGCAGTGACATGGATGTTGTAGTCTTCTGCCATGGAGGTAAAACATTATATTAATCACAAATGCATAAGAAAATGGAGGAATAGAATAAATAGAGATGACACAAGACCATCCAATTAGAACTCATCTGCGAAGCTTCATGGTCGAGCTCCATTGTAGAAGGCCTGCGGAGACATCCATGGAGTCGTCCAATCAACAGCATTTCTAATTTTCATAAAGGAAGGAATCTATCTGTTCGTAGTATATATTAATATCTGGGCACAGGAGAAAATGGCTCGAAGTGATATATGACTATCCTTGAAAATTTTCACGGGTGATGTGGTTTCCGACCACATAAAATAATGGCTTTTGTCCCTCTAGTAAACTTGACAGGTCACTGTGGGATGCTGGGTGGGAGCCGGCATTACCTCACATGTGGTGGGCTCCGCAAGCCTGATCTGTGAAAGAACGCATAGGAAGAGAAAGCCCTTTGCACGCTTAGCCTTTTCTGATTGCTCTAGTGGTGAAGTGTCCAGTAGCTATCTGATGGCGAATGGTTGTCGCTGGGACACACCTGCCATGCATCTTGCTTGAGATACTTTGTAAGAGAATCAAGAATATCTGTATATACAAAAGTGTCAACATAAAATTTATAATCTTTACAAGTGTCTCATCGTCGGATTTGAGATATCAATATATAAGAAGAACTATATCTTTCTCTTCTCTTCTTATCTTTTCACAGAATCACCTAGATTGATGAATTAAGGAGATTGAAAGAAAAATTTTAATCTCTCAACTGCATTCAAATACGTCTTATTTAGTCCCTAAATGTCCTGTCTATTTATAAGCGAGAGCAAAGAGTTAGGATAGATTATTAGGAGAGTTCCTCCCATAAAGATTATCTCCTAAGAAATCATATTTTAACATAACTTTTTTTTTTCTATTAACCAATAATCATAATCAAAATTTAATCATATCCATTATATATCATACCTAATTAAATAGGACCACATAATAACAAAAGATTAAAACTTGAGAGATACCAAACTCAAGATCAATAGTGACGCCCTCCTGTCAAAGAAAGAAGTGTGTCGATTAGTTCCTTAGAACTATATCATAATTGTGGTGTTAGTAGCATATGACTAAACAAAATCATGGTTAACCATCTCAGCATCTTGCAACTGAAACATGAAGCTTCCTGATGTACAAAAGCAATGCATGATAACGATGAACGAGACTCTTAGGTCAACGTAATCATGAAATATGTAAGAATCTGTACACATGATAAAGTTGTATCTCCAATAATTTTCGAAGAGGAAAACCACAAGCATCAAGATGGCTCGGGTGGGGAAAGCCTTACTTGCTGGACCACCTTGATCGGAGTCTTGCCCTTCTTTTACTGTCAGATAGACAACAACTGAAATAATTGATGATGCTGCACTTCATCACGCAACTGCACAAAAACGTATGTCCGAGTAAAGACAGCAGAAATGAAAACGTGTTGTTCATGATCGATCAACAGTTCCACAGGATCTTGATAAAGTTGAAACTGAATGATGAGGAAGAGCATTAGACCAGTAAAGTAACTAAACCTTGCAGCGGTTGTGACTTGTAATCAAATTGCTTACCGCTTACCAAGATGTTCATCTCACACCATAATGACAGAGGACATAAAACAAAATGTTGAACAATAATATTCATTTTTGGAATAGATTATCCATCAACCAATGAACAATAACAAAAGAACCAATGGAGCAGTGGGCTAATCCTTAAGGCCGTAGCACCACCTTTCAATTATGTGGTCCGGTTCGCTTGGAGGGACCCTGAGATGGGACATGAGAGGACGTGAGCTAACCAAAGAATTGAAGAGATCCCAATTTATTGCCCAGAGCATCAAAAAAATAAGGGACTTACACTAACTAGTGATGGAGGTTACAGCTAAAAGGATCAACCAACCAGTGTGTGGATCAGGGATCCTGAGATATGGCATTTGAGATGTATCCTCTATGGTAGCTTCTTGGATTGTCCAATTAGGAGAGGAAGTAGGGAACATAAAACTGTTGACATGGTCCAGAGCTCCATAGTGCTGCATGTGTGCTTGACCTGTGCAGGAAAGAACTCAAACAGTGCATATGAATGCTGTCGTCCGTCTGCTTTTGCCGATAGACAGAACATCCTCAACAATAGACTGTGTGACTAGAATGGATGTCCCGTTCTTTACGTCTTAATCATCCAGTCATGGCACCCACCGCCAGTTTCGACACCCGAATCATTCTACATCATCCACACATTCATCATGAACAGATACATCTACCCGAAGACTGGATCACATGGTATTCATTGAGCAAAAATTCATCCGATGGGGTCGGGATTGAAGTTATGTGATAACCGGTTGCTGGCATATTACATTGGTTTCCTTTGAGTTGCTACATAAGCTGACTTCATCTTCAAAATGCTGAATCAATGAGTTGCTACCTTGCATGGGATCACAAGTATGGATAGTGATCCATGGCCAATGCTAGAAAACAATAAAACTTGGCTAGGTTCAGTCTCTTCATCCTTCTGATTGCCATCAGAATGCAACACCATAATGCCAAGAAGAATGACATGGTTCTTGGGGAAAAGTACACCAAGAAGAGAGAATATAGTCTTCCTGGTCAGAACCTTGTTTTGGTTATAACCATCCATCAGGATCAGATGAATAGCTCTACAGAATTTCTTGGCCACAACACATTGACTAGACATGCATAATCTGAAACAGTTGTACCACAGACATGATTAAGGAACCATAAAATGGTGATCACATTGTTAACGGAAGGTTTAAAAAGTGGAGTTATATTCCATAGTTGACACCACAGTGCCTCTATATGGTTCAGACAAACACTATCCAGAGACTTTGAAGAATTCCATATAACAGACATGTAACTGAAGCCACCACACCACATACTTTGTAAGCTTCCCATAAGCCTCCACCCATTGTTTCCAGAAAATCAATGTCCTGACTTTGTCGATTCATCATGCAATCGTTTCTCTTTCCCCTAATGATTAGATCCAGGTAAACTCCTTTCTTATGCCCTTTTGCCATTTTCCTCATTTAACCCCTTGCCTTGCAGTTATCAATCAGCCCATTTAATCAAGGACATCGGATAGACAGCAACATTCACTACCTTGTATATATAAGACCACTCCCAAGTCCCAACCACTGAACATCAAACAACAAACGCATCACACTGCAACCATAATGTTCTCTTGCACGAACTACTTCCAGCACTTCTGCAGCAATGGCTTCCAATTGGAAAGCAAAGGATACAGTTTACATGATGACCTTTTGCCATCACTTGGAGCAACCATAAACCATAGAATCAAGCTCAGGAAGCACATTGTTTCGCCATATGATCCTCATTACAGGTATACTAACCCATCAGACTCATTATTTTCTCACATTTTCATTTTTCAACAATCAAGCAGTTTATTTCTTCTCTCTTTTCACTATTTCTTCTTAGGCTATGGGAGATGTTTCTGATGGTTCTGGTTCTCTACTCAGCTTGGATCTGCCCATTTGAGTTTGCATTCCTACATTACTTGCCAAGCACAATGTTTCTTGTGGATAACATAGTCAATAGCTTCTTTGCAATTGACATTGCACTCACCTTCTTTGTTGCTTTCGTCGACCCTAAATCCTATCTCCTTGTTGACGAACCAAAGAGAATAGCAGTCAGGTTAGCATTTGAACTATAATTTGTCTCCTATTTCTTCAAAAGTACTCATAAATATTTCATTATTTTGTCTAATTTCTACATAAGCCTTACAATGCTAAAGATGCTGTTTGAGCTTCATACAGTCTAACTTAACAGGTACCTATCCACATGGTTCATTTTTGATGCATGTTCAACATTTCCGTTCCAAACAATCAGCTTCTTCTTCAACAGACATGGTAATAGCCTTGGCTTCAAACTTCTAAGTATGCTCAGACTATGGCGTTTGCATCGTGTCGGTTCCTTGTTTGCTAGGTCTGTATCTTCTCCATATTGTAGTATATCTATCACCGATAAAAGAACGGAAATGATTTAGTTTTTCTTTCATCAGACTTGAGAAGGATATTCGGTTCAATTATTTCTGGACACGGTGTGCAAAGCTTTTCTCTGTAAGCTTCCAGCATATATTCACTTTATCTTGTCTCAAACAGCTGCACAAGTTCTTAGTACAATAACTTTTTTGTACTACAGGTAACTCTATTCGCGGTTCACTTTTCTGGATGCTTTTACTATATGATTGCCGATCGATACCCTGACCCAAAAAGAACCTGGATAGGTGCAGTGATACCAAACTTCAGGGAAGATAATCTGTGGATCAGATATGTAACAGCAATATACTGGTCGATTACAACACTAACGACTACAGGTTATGGTGACTTGCATGCTGAAAACACAAGAGAGATGCTATTTGATATTTTCTACATGTTCTTCAATCTGGGTTTGACAGCTTACCTCATTGGAAACATGACGAACCTTGTTGTCCATGGGACCAGTCGCACAAAAACCTTTGTATGTCCTTTTCTCTCCGAGATCATAACAGCTCACTTGTTTTGCTATTCAGTAGTAGCCCCAAGACCTACTTATTTATTGGAATATGCAAATACAAATATATATTTTATACATCACGCATGCATCATGAATACTTGCAAGGTACCATTAGAATTCCATAGACCAAGAACATAAAACATGATGTCTGATTATCTAGTTGCCCAAGTCTTTCTGAGGGAACTAATCTGTGTTCACAGTTTCTGGCTTTTGCATTTTATCATAATAGAAAAAGGATTTCTGCTTGTTAAGTTTTATTTCATTAATAGGACAAAAATGCACGGTCATCTTGGCAAAGGGTTAAGAAAATTATTAAAACAATTTGAATAAACAATATGCAACAACTATTTTTAACAGAGGATTTGGATATCACATTCTCAAAACTGTTCATTTTGAACTTCAGAGGGACACGTTTCAGGCTGCTTCCGAATTTGCATCAAGAAATAAGCTACCAAGACATGTAGAAGAACAAATGTTATCGCACATATGTTTAAAGTTCAAAACAGAGGAACTCAAACAGCAAGAGACTATTGAAGGCTTGCCAAAGGCTATTCGCTCGAGCATAGCTGAGTGTCTGTTCTATCCCATTGTTGAAAAAGTATACCTTTTTCAAGGGGCCTCCTTCAATCTCATTTTCCAGTTGGTGAGGCTTTTAATTCTAAGTGATCAATTTTAACCCTAGGCAGGTCAAAAATATGCATTGTGCTGATGAGATCATCGTTAAATTAATAGGCGACAGAAATGCAAGCTGACTATTTTCCACCAAAGGAAGATGTGATACTGCAGAATGAAGCTCTAACAGATCTATATATAATAGTATCAGGAGCAGTGGTTAGTACAACTGTCTCCATTGCACTGTATACTTCAGTCTGTCACATATTTGCTTGCAGGAATTCCCACAATTTACGACTATTTTTTTGGCTGACTTATTGTTGCAGGAGATGAGAGCATATGTGGATGGAGTGGAAAAAGTAAGACACATGGGAAGCATACCAATACCATCTAAGCATGTCAAATATTCATAATAAAAGGTTTGATCATTTACAATCTTCAGGTTCAAGGGAGGCTTATTGCAGGGGAAGTATTTGGGGAGATAGGAGTTCTATGTCATGTACCACAACCATTCACCATAAGAACCACTGAACTTGCACAAATCCTCAGGCTGCAAAGTGCTGTATTTTTCAACATTATTCGAGAAAGCAGACAGGAAGCAACTATTGTCATGAGAAATCTTTTCCAGGTAAATCCAATAATTGACCAACATTGCTTAACTAAATAAATAAAATATTTCTCTTTTGTGGTAGAAATAGGAGCTGATGTTACTCTACATTATATCTTACAGAAGTTAAGGCTACATGAAAAATTATACCCTGGGACACTGCAAAAGGATCCAGGAGTGCTAATGAAGGAATGGCTTGCCACAGGACCTCTGAACACAAATGGGGAGCATGCACAAGGTGGAGATGATTATCAAGTTTGGAAGCTACATACACTAGAACAGATGGATGAAGGAAACCTACTATACAAGGCAGAAAAGAATAAGGATATCAGCACATTTAATGAGCTTCCAATTGGTCACACCAATCCAAAAGAAAACTATGCAGATCAACAGAATGGGTTCCATAAGGCTGGATGGGAAGTACACAACGAAATCACCAGCATGTTCCTCGAACGAGATGCAAGTATAGGAAAAGTTGATAGTACCAGGTGGACCCAAAATGGTATGATTGAGAAATGTGAGAAAAAGGGTACATCTGAGGTTTTATCAAGTAATGGAAGTAAGAAGAAATTCACTGGAGTACATGAACAAGGATCTCTCAGAATGAAAGCATGTGATGGTGGAAACAACTTTAAGAACCATGGCAGCAGGGAAACGAGATTCTGGTATGGTTATTCTAATATCAGCAATATGTTGATAACTTCTTGTTCAGAAAATGGCAGCCATGATTCTGAGAACAATATCATGAAACTAACTAGCAAAAGAGTGATCATTCACATGCATTCTCAAAAGCAAAATCCGGCTAGACAGATGATTTCCAAGATGATAAACTTACCTAGCACTATGGAGGAGCTCCTCAGGATTGGTGGTAAGTATTTCCTTTTTACCTAATTTAAAGAAGAGCAAAATAATAACAAAAATCTACAACTGCTAGGAGAAAGGGGCTAGTATTAGTTTCAATATTATGTTGATTCATTTTGATAAACAAAAATAAAATGGACAAGTTTCAGAAAGAAACCTAAATTGTGAGACAGAAACAATTCATGTGTCATATACTCCACTGTTGTAATCATGTCTTGCAAAAGTTGCAGGTGAAAAGTTTGTGGGACATCATCCTACAAAAGTAATCAACGAAGAGAATGCAGAAATTGATGACATTAGCATTATTCATGATGGGGACCATTTATATCTCCTAGAGGTTTAAGAGTAACAACAGGACTGTCAGAGAGGCTATGTCCTAACCAAGATTTGAAGGCCAACACATCATTCCCTCACATTTGAATGTGTAAATTTGAATGTTGATGATAAACACTAGATCATGCCAGTCTACAATGACATTTTCTTTATTCCAGTAACTAATTGGATGGCCAGTAATAGACTACATGAACTGTGCTTGGTTCTTGAACATGACCCCAGACCAAGAAAAATCATACCCAAAAAAAAAAAACAAAATTATCAAATTTAAGAGTAATTCAAATAAGATAAGTTACTTTTGGTCACTTCTGAATAAAGGCAAAACTTTTTATCCAAATATTTAACATCAGAGACTGGCACAAAAATATTCTAAGTGAAGACTATGAAGAAAGTCAATTAACAATTTCACATCATAAAATAATTGGAGCTCATCTAGAATTACAAAGGAACATTAGGATGCCTTGATCGTTAAACTGACTAGAAAAGCAGATTGATTACACGAGTACTTTACTGTCAACAAATTAACCAACATACACATATTAAATGCAAACTTTTCATTCAGATATTATAATGTTGTTGAAACTGCTGCAAATAAAATGCTGGGTGATTCCTACCTATATCATCATTCATGCATATGACCACGCATGCATATGCTTGTATAAACATATAGCATTCATATGTAGCCAACAACATCTACCGAATGCACAGCAGATCTAATTACAAATAATTGTATTACAAACATTAATTGGAGTTGGTTTCTTGTTATTAAATAATTAAGTTGATCAAGAGATAACATTACACTTGAGAATGCGGGTGAAATGGTCATTAAAAAGCAGAAATATGTGCATGTAGTCACATACAATCATAGATCCATTATTATATTTATTAACAGATACACAGCAAATTCAAAGAGGACACAGTGACAGTCCACAATTACCCATTCTAAAGACAAAATTGGGTTCTGATATGATTTGATTAGGAGACATCCTTATATGTAATATACCAAATAGGCTAAGGCATAAATATGCTAATTAAAATTTTCAATAACAGAAGTTTAAGCTATTACACTATATATTAATTCCATATATTTAGCCTCTATATTCTGCAATAAATTTGTGTTGTAAGTCTTTATATTATTCAATATAGAAAAAAGAGTAACGGTTTTTGCTAATCTTAAATCGTTCCTTGAGATTTTTTTAAAATGAAATTAAGTTATAGCAAAGTACCCTAAGAAACAAGGATAATGATAGTATAGCCGTAGTAAAGCATAAATATCTTTCCAACTGAATGACTTTGTTAAGGATTAGACTTCCTTCCTGGTCATGGATTAGACTTTGTTAAGGATTAGACTTCATGGTCATGTTCCTCTTGACTTTGTCAAGCATTCTTCTATCTCAGTGACCTCCTTCCTGCACCATAGCTTGAATTGACTAGCGGTGCATGGAGCTTCTCTCATATATCACCAAACTGTTGGAACTTGAAGGGGGAAAAACCCAAATTCCTCTTCATTGTTCGGGATTTTAGTCCCACATCGGGATTGAGGGTTTTCTCCCTCCAAAAAAGCTAAGGAGTTAGGACAATGCTTTCACACCTCCGGGTTCCTTTTCTAGACTCCCTATTTCAATTTCAACACATTTAAGATTTAATCGGAGGTTATTTTAGTATTATTACTCCAACACAAACAACTTCACATGATCTTTCCATAGTTTTGATTGTTGAAGATCACAAATGCAGTTCAGAAACTTCACCAACAGGTTGGTTTAGTATAAGCTGCTTTAACAGTGAAGAATTCTTCCTTCAAAAGAGAAAAAAAGAGCTAAAATAAAAAAGTTCGGTCATATCTGGTTTAACATTTGATGAGGTGACAGATGTACAACTAACATAGTAAGCAATTATCAAGACAAAAACTGAATTATCTAACTCAACAATTTGAATTTTACCTTTGGAACTTAAACTCTCGATGATTTTTCTTTCTTAAATTACTCATAGTAGTTAAGGCATGGATTGTTTACTATCACTCTGCCAAGCCAACAAGAAAACATTGATAAAATTGTATCATACGCAGTCCTTTTATGATTGAATGATAAAACATTTAGGTATATCTTACAAGAATAATTAAGACAGGATGGAGATTCACCGAGAGAAAGATGATTGTAACTTGGTCCATACGAATCAATTCTTGTTCTGTGATGTCTGCTGCTTTTAAGCAAAAATATTAAGAAGGACAATCGCCAGAATAAGCAAACTGAAAGAAAGCAAGGAGGAGAAAGAAATAAGCAACACAATGCGTAGAAACTTGGCATTGATTGCAGAAGAAAGTGACACAAATTTCTCACTTCCGAAACAGATTTCAATCAATCTAATGTACGAAGAAAAGCACAAATTCTACCAGGTATCAGAACAGCATTCGACAAAAGTTTCTAGATGGGGCATCGATTTGATTGCTTAAAGCCTACATAGAACATAAACCAGAGAACTCGTAGCAGCTCTACTTCTACAGCATTCACAAAAGCCAACCCTAACTCTGGATTCCAGATATTAACAAGAACATGTCGATGAATAACAAACGTATCGGTCGCAGAACATTTATCATGTAACGATTCAGATTCCGCACACGAACTCTGAGAACGCATAACAATTACCTCGAGTCTTGGGCGTCGCGATCGCCCCCCGTTTCCGTTGCGAGTCGGGTCGAAGCCTTGTAGGATTTATACGCCTCTTCAAACGGACTTATCCCGCAACGAATCAACCCAATAGTGACTTTTATTGGGCGTCCTCTATTGGGTCGGTCCATTACTTGAGGATCTGGTGCAACGCCCGGACAAAATTGTTCTAAAACAAAGGCTGAGTTGGGATCTTTTCCAAGGTATCCTATGTTTAAACTGATGACATCATTCCGGTGGATCCCATCGATGTTACCACGAAAGCAGGAAACACAATTTCCTATCTCACAAACAGGTGGAGCCCAACACAAGTGACACCTCGTCTCTCTCGAGGCCCGGGAATCATGTTTCCCGTGTGACGCGTGGCAGGCGATCTCCGCCCATCGTTACCTCCAGCCCAAAGTATTCAAACCCACTCGAGCGCCACGGCACGCTTCTTCTTCAACGATTAGTTCAACTGTCGTTTGCTCCTCCGTCGTACCACCACTGGATGCAAGCCACGCGTACAAGTATTAACGGCTACTTCACTCCACCTGGGGCGTTCGAAAGTTTTCGAACCTTCCCCTTACCCAACGGCTATTTCCTCCTCTCATCAATCAAAATGTCCCCCATCCTCTCTCTCTATAAATACCTCCCAAGCCTTCACACCATCCATCAGAAGCCGAGCCATCTCTCCCTCCCTGTCTCCCTCTTTCTGCCTCTAGTGTTGGTGAGAAATGGAAGCAGGAATGAAGCTGTCCTCGAAGGTGCCTCTGCTTCTCCTTCTACTCGTATCGGTCATAGTAATAGCCAGCGCGCAGGAAGCTCCGGCACCAGCACCGACCGCGGAGAGCGGATCGACTGCAGGAGTCCCGGGTCTCTGCGTGCTGGTTCTTACCACCATGGCTTCTCTATTCGCTGCCTTTGCTCGCTGAGTGCCATCATCTCATGGCCTATAATTCAAGTGATATTGCTGCGACTATACTATGGGCGGGGTTGTGTTTGGGTGTGTGTGCGCTGCTGTGTGTATGAATTATTTGATCCTCGGATGTCATTTGGTTTAATGCAGATGATCTCGATCTCAACATTAATACTCACATTGGAAGATGGGCTGCTGTTGAAAGACTAATAGACAATCATATTGGGCTTAGTCCAAGCAACATATATATATATATATATCTCATTCAAAAAAAATCCCAAATATTAAAAAGGTGATGGAGTCTCAGTTTCTACTTCGGCTTCCTTTCAATCAATTTAATGGAAGAAAGTAGCTAAACATTGATATACTTGATTGACCATGTTCATGGACGTTTCCTTCAAACTTTCTGCAAAGGGTCATCTTTTCCTCCTGAATCAAGGTCTCGGTCTGCCAATATTGGCCAACTTCCATGTCCGGGCTGTCTACCACTTATGACTAACTCATTAGTGGGTCAACCTAAGCTTCAGAAAGTGCAATGCACTATAGCTTTTGAAGTCGATTCATATCCAGGCCACATCCATCCTCTTTTTGGGTCAAATCCTGCTGTCTCTCTCTATGCACTTGCTTGTATGTTGGAAGAAGATTTCGTTGTGATCGTGAAATGGATATCTTCCATGTCCACTGCAACTCGATCAGAGATTAACAAGCTATTCGTTGTTAGAGAACAGGAAAGAGAGTGAGGATATCTTCCATACAAGTGCATGGATATCTTCCATACACTTGTATGTTGGAATAAGCTTTTGTTGTGATCGTGAAATGGATATCTTCCATGTCCACTACAACTCTTATCAGAGATTCTCAGGCTATTTCGTTGTTAGAGAACGGGAAAGATGAAAAGAGACTGAGGTGGTGGTATTGTATCATCACTGACATCATCTCCAATAAGAAACCACTTTTGCATCGTTAACCGAGTGAACGAGTCTTCCGCCGATGATGCCCTACTTTTGCTAGATCCTTCTTAGTCACTAAATCCTTTTCTAATGCTTGTCCACAAGGTAGCTGCAGGATGCCATGACTTCGGATTATGCCGAATGGTTGAGAAGACGTGCATCCAACGAAGACGATTGGGTGATTGATTGCAACATGCAGTGAATGGAATGATCTGTGATGTTCAACGTTGCACATAGGAAAGACACGCACGAGAAGTAAAAGCAAAAGCATTGGAAGTAATTAGATACTTGACCACGCCACTTTCTGCTTCCTAAATCGCCTTTGGTTTAGGATTAAACAATAAATAATCGAACTAAATTCCCTCGATCTTCTTTATTTGAAGGGTAATCTAGCTTACACAGTCCCGTGAATGAATGCTTCGTTGATATATTGTATTGTGAGCGTGCATGTTGCTGCTGTTCCCTCGATCTTCTTTATTTGAAGGGTAATCTAGCTTACAAAGTCCCGTGATCGAATGCTTCGTTGATATATTGTATTGTGAGCGTGCATGTTGCTGCTGTTCCTGGGGAGATTCCTGGTCAAACAAGAACAAACACCTTCCTCGTTCACTTTGACCGCACGGCGTTCACACCCGGTTTGGTGTGTTGACTTCGGCCCATAAAAGGCAGAAGAAGAGGATTAGAAGGAATACCATCCTACCCATGCATCCCACTGACGTACACCACCGTCGACGCTCAACCATACCCTTCTCTGTCATCCATGTGGCCAATCACATTGACGCAGTTATCGCACCAAGTTGGTCCAATTAATCTACTGAAAGTTGTCGAGTGCCTCGATGTGTGTTGCCTATCTAGTGGTCTAGCGGACGACTTCGCCCTGTGATGGAGTTATCACACGACAACACTTACGTACCTAATTGATGCGAGAGAAGGCAATGATTCTTGTTGCCTCCAATAATCTACGTAAAAGGAAAGACCGCTGCAGACTTCGTTGCGTGGAAGTCATTGCCATGCACGATGCGGGGTGGTCCCACTTTCTTCGAGACTCCCACTTGATAGTGATGCACGCTGTTGAGATCCTCACGTTGTGCTCTGCGCCGGACTCCATCACTAACTGGGGACACCCCTTCCATAAAAGAAGCTAGATTGACTTTGAATTCTATTAACGTTGTTGATCAATAGCTTTCCATGAGTATATGATGGAGTATATATATGTAAGAGAGAGAGAGAGAGAGAGAGAGAGAGAGAGAAGAATCTTTTATAGATAGGAATTCACTTCCCGTTCATACACACCCTTGCTGATGTTTGGGAAGACGTACACTCATGTAGTTCTAGTTGTTTAATAGCTTTGACATGAACATTGGAACATTCCTTTCTCTATAGATCGACATCTCTCTCTCTCTCTCTCGGTGCCGGCCTTTACAGAGCCTTGGAAGAGGCACACGTGAACAGTTGGTAAGTTGACTGACACTCTAATTCCGTGTAATCCAATTCGCTAGCTTTTGACCACAAACACAGCGTTTTGTGGACATTAGATTCAACACCTAATCTTACCAACTGCATAAGCGTGTATTGAATTAGAACCCGGAGCTGGCGTGGCCATGGTTTTCAACAACGACAGGGTAAGAGAGTCGTGATTCCAAATCAAATGACAGTTGAGATGAATCCTTCAAACTACTATCAATTATATGATATTTATTTTTAATATGTAGACTTGGTATTTTTCATCTTTTCGTCAAATTGGTTTTGTGATATTTACTAAATAGTTAACATAAATGAAAAATAGGAATAGGATGGAAATGGCTTGCATGGAAATTGCACTCCAAACCCCCTGCTTGGATGTCACCTACCACACCATGCAGGTGTGCAAGCCTGGTCTCGACAGGTGGTATCTTTTGGGCTATATAAAGAAAGCCAAAGCGAACCCGCTCTCATGCAAACCTTTCCCCTGGTTTCAACTCGAACACCGTCCTCTGTTCTTCCTCTGTTCTCTCACCGCCATGGTGGTTTTAGCTAACCCGGCCCTCGATGAAATACCCCTCGTCAGGCCTCAGAAACACGGGGCTTTCTTCTCCGCCATCCCTGTCGTTGACCTGTCGAGGCCTTTCTCGGCAGAAGCTCTCGTCAAGGCCTGCGAAGACGTGGGTTTCGTCAAGGTCATCAACCACAACGTTCCCATGGACGTCGTGCAAAGGTTGGAGGCCGAGACTGTCAAGTTCTTCGAGATGCCCCAGGTGTTCAAGGAGACGTCCGGTCCTGCCGACCCTTTCGGCTATGGGAACAAGAGAATTGGTCCTAATGGTGATGTCGGCCTGGTGGAGTACCTGCTTTTTGGCATCACCTCCAAGCCCTTGTCTTACACGTCAATGTCCTTCCTCGAAGAACCCTCAGCGTGCTTGTTCGGGTAAGAACAGCAAGGGTAAACGATGTTCTGTTTTCAGAGTATCTCTTTTTGATCTTATACGAACAAGACGACTAGTTGCCGAGCACTGTTTCCTGCTCTGGTTGTTGATCCATGGACCATATCGCAGGCCTGCTTTGAGCGAATACTTGGTAGCTGTGAAGAAGTTGGCTTCTGACGTGCTTGAACTGATAGCCGAAGGGCTAAAGATCGAACCAAGAGATCTTCTTAACGGGCTGGTGACGGATGAACAAAGTGATGGACTCTTTCGGCTGAATCACTATCCCAGATGCCCTCTGCTAGAAAGACTCGATCGCAGTTGGACCGGCTTCGGAGAGCACACAGACCCACAGATCATATCGGTCTTAAGATCGAACAACACCACGGGCCTGCAGATATCACTGAAGAATGGGAGCTGGGTCTCGGTCCCACCCGACCAGGAATCCTTCTTCATCGTCGTCGGTGACTGCCTGCAGGTGAGAATCTATCATCCTGTCGCTTCAGTAAGGAAACAGCATTCACATCTATGTTGTGCAATCCAAGCCGGGTTTTGCTTCCTCCGGAGATCTTAGTTCCGTCTTCACTTCGCTTCAGTAAGGAAACAACATTCTCATCTAGGTTGTGCAATCCAAGCGGGGTTTTGCTTACTCCGGAGAGCTTAGTTCCATCTTTGCTTGCTGTAACTCTGTGGTATCAGCAATATGACTGTAATTCTTGATAGCATCTCAACATGGCTGGCAATACAGGTTCTGACGAACGGGAGGTTCAAGAGTGTGAGGCACAGGGTGTTGGCCAACGGTTCCAAGTCCAGGGTCTCGATGATCTACTTCTTTGGGCCACCTCCCGCAGGGAAGATTGCACCATTGTCACAGCTGATGGGAGAGGGGGAGCAGAGCAAGTACAAGGAGTTCACATGGGCGGACTACAAGAAGGCTGCCTATAAATCAAGGCTGGGGGACAACAGGCTCGGGCAGTTCGAGAAGTAGGAGGAGGCTACTGATGGCTCGCCGACGCATGCGGACTGCTGGCTTTCCTGCTCTCAGCTTTTTTAGTCGGTCAAAGGCGGACTGGCGTACATGACCTTCCTCTTCCCTCTTGCTTTTCTACCCAAATTTAGTAACAAAAATGTTCCCTTGTTTCTAAAGCCTTCTCATGTACAGAGAACCAACCTCCTCTCTCGCTATCTATCTAATATAGAAACAAAAATAAAGAAGAATTCCTGTTCTCGCCTAAGTATCGAGAGACTTAGAACACATTGTTTTATATGTTGTGAAGGGAGATGAGTCGAATGAATCAGATCTTAGAACAGCATGGTTAAGTCACCGATAAATGTGCCTATTTAAGGTACATATTGCCTTTACTCTCTCCATCTGTCTACATATCTGTCTCTATCTCTCCATCTCTGTCTGTCTATCTACCCATCCAGTCAAATTACTGACATAAAAGCTGGCTGTAGTGCCATGAAGCAGGCTATATATAAAAGAGGTGCAGTTGCCTCTCCACATGGCTCACGAGCGATGATCCTTGTGGGAGACAGGCGTCGTACAGGAACAAGGCATGGTTTCGCCTCCGGGGGATGCAGTGCAGCAGCAAGTCGGCCAGGGAGCCGCTGCGCCATGCTTAGACCAGACACCTCAATAAATATGGTGGTGGTTAGGGTTCAAAGGTTGAGGGAGCCCCCCCAAACCATTTATGAGACCTTCATTAACGCTCGGATCATACTTAGCTCGAGGAGATGCAGATAAAACAGACCCTCACGACTTGTCGTCACCTCGAACAGCAATACAAATGCTGGTCTCTCCCATAAACACGTTATAGGGCTTGTGCTAGAGGTGAAGTGATCTCACATGAGCTTTCTCCCACTCTACCTTCAATCTCCTAATTTCATGCAGCCAGTGGAAATGCATGAATAACGTATTTTGTTTCCATACGATCTTTGCGAGCGTTGGCCAATAATCAAAAGACTTCATGCAATGTCTTCTTAAATCTTAGTTAATGTTACGATCTGCTACGGTTTGCAGCTTCAAAACGCATCACAGAAGGTTTGACGAACGACATGAACAGTTGATCCACTTGCACCTCCAATTGCACCACAACATGTCAATAATTGTTTTTATTTTTTGATTGATTGCACTGGGTATAATAGTATCGAGCAGCAAGTTGCAATTCCAAACATTGATTGCGAGAGGAGATGCAGTATATAATCTGTAGCTTTCTTATCCATGAGACTAATGTGAAGCATGACCACCAATTACAATATCATATGACGAAATGCGAACTAATTCATTGCTCAGATCGAGCTACATTGCAATTTGATGTCTTTCCCTCGATTGCCCCAATCAATTTGCACACTGGTGGTCACATACACGTCTCCTATCCGCCTTTGTAAGCGTGTGACGTACCACAGTTTGCATGGATCGTAACATCCAGATCAATGTCGTCTGTAAATATTACTGTCTGCCACGAACCACAACTCATGCATGCAAGCTTTCCGTTGACCGCATAGGTGCATGCCTGGTTAATATTTGTATTTGTATTTGTATTTTTTTTTTTGGGTGCTAAATCTCGTCGTTACAGATACAAATGTTAACTCGAGAGATCGATATTGCATGGCATAAACAACAGGCATGCACCAGCTATATATGCCTCGGATGGTAACTTCCATTGCTGAGAAAGAAGGGCCAAACTCGAAAGAAATCGCGTTCCATCTCTGCATCACAATAATTGGAGACAGGGTGGCTTGCCATGTCGAGGTACCTCCTTTTCATGCTGCAAATGCATTCGAGAACGTCAACCTCTGAATGCAATTGAAAGCACTCGAGTTGGTTGTGCGGTTTTTGACTTGCTGTGAACGAAGACTCGGCACAGTTCGCCTACGCTTGCTTGCCCTCCTCAACAAAGAATGAGCTCGATGTCATGCCCATGCTCACGTTTCTGTCCCCGAGAGCGACGGCCATGGTGCAGCGAGCAGTGGCTGAGCAATCACCTTGTCCTCCTCCTCCTCAGCTTTCAAAGGGGAGAATGTACTCGATGTCGTGCCCATGTTCACGTTCCTGTCGCCGAAAGGTACAGCCACGGTGAACCAGGAAATGGCCAAGCGATCGAACACCTCTATCTCTCTCACTCGCTTTACTGTATTCTCTCGGTCCAATACATGCGTGAGGATTGAAGAAACCAGTCGCTGTAGCCCGGGCAGCTTCGTGGCTGAAAAGATTCAAAGAGAGGGGAGGTGATGGGGTCGTAATTGGGACGGACGGCAGCCAATTGCAGGTTCCATTTCACAGTGTGTTTGAACCTTCCTTTTTACCAACTTTTGCAGGTGGAGTGTCACCAAATTCTTTGACATGGAACGAGTGTTGTGATGGTGCCACGCCCAAGCCTTTAGAATAAGATGGTCGCAGGATCTGATTCGAGTATCGTGACCCCATTTATCGAAGGGCATCAAATATTCATATAAATATCCATTTTATTTGTTGTATTAACCAAAAATTAAAAATTAGGAAATGATTTAAATATGACAGAAGCAGCAGGGTGGAAGTCTTATTTTAAGGGCGAATCAAAAAATATTAGTAAACTTAATTAATTTAGTCGATAAAGATCTTGATAATTTATCGTAACGTCGTATGTTTAAATCATGCATTTGAACTTTGTGACCTAATCAACATGGGGCAGCTCAAATCCTGCTTTGGTCTTTTCTTTTTACAAACAAAAATCAAAATTAAAATATTAAATTAATTAATTTATTATTTGATTTTTGAACTTTTGAATCCCTTTCATCTCACACTCCTTTAGTTTACCATGGACTTAGATTTGGATTTCACATGAATCATTGTAGGATGGGCCTTATAGCTTGATCCATATGAAGCTTGAAAGATCCACCAAAAGACCTCCATGACTTACTTTTGAAAAAAATATACATATAAAAATTAAAATAATAAATTAATTAGTTTAATATTTGATGTTTTAACTTTTGAATATCTTTCATCTCACACTCTTTAGTTTACCATATGGATTTGGATTTAGATTCTAGATGAATCATAAAAAAGATGCGTAAAAGATTTATTAAAATATATCTTAGAAGATTTTAATAGTTTATTGTAATGTTATGAACTTGAATCTTGCATTACTTACTTACCTTTACCAAAAAAAAAAATCAAAATTAAAGTGATAAATTGATCAATTTAATATTTGATTTTCTAGCATTTTGAATCTCTTTCATCTCTTAGTTTATCATGGACTTAGGATTTTGATTCTAGATAACTAATAAAATGATGGGCATTATGGCCTAATCCACATGAGGCATGAAAGATCCACTAAAATATATCTTAAAAAAATCACTAAAATATATCTTTAAAGATCTACTAAAGATCTTGATAGTTTATTGTAAGATCCACTAAATATATCATATACATTTGTAAAAAAAAAGGATATATATCAAAATTAAAATAATAAACTTTTGAAGCATTTTTATGAATCCAATCTCACAGCCCAAAATTTTTGAAGTAAAATAAATATGTAACCTATGCTTATCATTTGATCCATTTCAGTATTCAAATTAGACCTGTCTCAGAGATCACAATGGCTTGGTAGTATTTTACTTGGCTCAACAACAGCAACAGAACAAATCTAAAGACTAAACCATGAGCTGCAGTTAATCCATCCCACTTACTGGTTCTGCTTGCCTCTGCTGCGCCACCTTCTTCCACAGGTCGCCAAGCATTCCAAATCCGGCCGCCTTCCTTCTTCCTCCAACCACCCCATCCTCCTCCAATTCGCCTGCCATAAGCGGCCAACCCCATCGGACATACGCGCCATGGTGTTTGTCCATGGCGGCTCCGTCCCCAGCAGCCAGCAATGCTGTTGCTGCCTCCGCCGCCTTTCGCCATTGCCCGGTTTGCACTCTCAGCTTCTTCATCTCCACCTCCAGTGCCGCCTTTGCTCCCGCCACTGCCGCCAACTGCTCCGCCAGGTGTGCTGCTTTTTCTTTGCTCCCCTCCAGCTCCTCTTCCATCGACCTTATCTTCACCTTCAGCTCCTCTTCCTTTCTTCGTGTAGCTACAGCGAGGTGTGAGTCATCTTCTTCACCTCTCCTCTCAAAGATCATACTCTCTTCCAGTATAAATGTCACTTCTTCCTCCTCCTCATGTTCGTTCTGCTCTTGGACTGGTTCGGTTGGCTCTACCACTTCGAGAACATCATCGTTCGGCTCCGGCTTCGACTTGGGCTCAGATGTCTGTTCGAGCACCAGGGAAAGAGGAAGCGTCTCTCTGTCTACCTCAGAGGTTCGGATCACGGTAGAGACCTGCTTCTTGGCCTTCTCGAGAGCTTGTTCGGCATCAACCATGGCGACTTCAGCGGAGGCCAACCGGTCTCTGAACTTGTTGAGCTCTTCCTGAGCTCGGCCCACCTTGGTCTCCAGATCTGCCATCCAACTATCTTGCTTCCTCTGCAGGAGAAGAACATTTGGAGAGAAAGAGGAAGTGCAACAGAATCGAGACTGATGAATGCAGGAGGGCATATACCTCATCCTCCAGCTCGGGGCTGCGTTCGGCAACCATTCCGCGGACTTCCACCTCTTCCTTACAACAGCGTCGACTAAAAAGACATGATTAGAGCAACACCATCAGCATCAAGATGCGCGAAGACTAACAGGAGATGCACATTCCAGAGATCCAATTCAAACTTCGAAATCTACCAACAGATTGGAGATATGAGATGCAGTTATGTAGCTGCAAAAGAGACTCGAGAGAGCGTCTTCTCCAGGTGGTCACCTCATAGGAACAGTAGTAGATCTGCACGTGAATGGCCATGCTCATAGGAAGGCCACCCGCAGTGATATCACGCGATGATCCGTGTTGTTGTGTGACGGGTTGACAAACCAAGGTGAGAACTTTGGATGTGAAGAAACAGGACAAAATGGTCTCAAATGATTGAATCGATGACAGCTTTCGTGATTTCTTCTCGAATGACAATTGATGAAACATTAGGCCGGGTTCAATTTCACTCGAATCGGACATGACGAGTCTGAACCGATCGCAAATAGTCTGAATCGATAAAAAACCGGAGCAAATTTGGCTTGGGCCAAACTCGATCGGCCTGAGCCGATCGTCGAGCCGGGGTCAATCTGGTCGAGTCGAACCCTGGTCCCGGCCCAGCATAACTATTTATCTTATGAATAATTGGACCAAACGACATAATATATCGTTATTTAAATAAATACAAAAAAGCATTAGGAAAAGGGTGTCGTTGACGGGTATAAATAGTTAAAGAGGTGGGCTTAGAAAAAGGTAAGGGATTTTTATTTTTTATTATTTTTATTTTCGTTTTCATTTAAATTATAAATAATTAGGCGATACTTTATTTGTGGTATTAAGATAGGAAATATATGAAAAATATGTCAAATTGGACTATAAAAGTCATAAAATAAATAAAAATAATAACACGATGAGTTATATAGATTAATGCTCAAACCCTATAAATCGTATAATAATCCTTAAAAAAAACAATGACATACTTGTTCTTATGCTATTTTAGGGATGTCGTTGCTAAATTATAAAAGGAGAGATGCTATTGAAAGTAGGATAAGAATTTTAACAAATATTTCTAAAAATTAATTTTATTTTTTGCTTGAAAGATCAATGATAAAAGCTATTTATTTATTAAAATAATTAATAAAAAAATATATGAAGAAAAAAAATTATACATAAATTTTATTGACTTAAAAAATGAACGATAGGGTTCATAAAGATTTATTATGATAGATTTTAAAAAATATATATTCACTAACTATATTTATGTTATTAAAAATATGTATGATAATTTAGCTACCATTGTTAGAACATGAGGAGTGGAGTGTGTTTATTGAATTTTTTATTACCATAGGTAATGACATTAAGAGTCTCGTGTGATCATACCTTTCAACTTCTAAATAGTTGAGAGAGAAGTTCCAGATAAAAGATAAATTATCCAAAAATTCTCCTATCAGAAGATGTTTGTATGTGAGGAATTATATGATCTGCATAAACTTAGAGGTGCCTAATGGAAGAAATTGGCGGCATAAGAAGGGCAATATGGTCAGCCAGCTGAGAGCAGATCAATAATGAAGATCATGGAGCAGTGAAGGAACTGCATATAGAACCACACAACTTTCTCTTCCTTTTTGACTGATGGCAATAGTTAACATGTTGATGCAACAATAACATACCGATCTTATGATGGTAATATTTATTTGAAGAAATCTATGATAATATCCCAGTTTATGCATTTATGCTGAAATATTTAAGAGGTGATAATATGAATTCCCAGAATTCCAAAGGAAGAAAAAGAATGCAAAGGTGATTTCATTCTGAGCTTCTCATAGAAGGATGTTTCGGGAGAAACACAGATTAAGGAGGAGAAGAATGATAGATAGATGTTAGTCATGAGAAAAGGATCGGTGAAAGCAAACGGAAAGAGAAAGGGGACACAGCAGCAGCATCAAGTCAACTCACCTCTCAAATGGATTTCCCGACGACGATTCCTCAAACCCTTCGGCCACTACTTCTCCTGCGACGACACTCTCCAACAGTAACTGCGAGCGAGCGGCTTAGTAGAGGAGAAGAAAGGCTTAGGAAGAAAGGAAGGAAGGAAGAGGAAACAGCAGAGGCAAAGAGTCGGGATCACCAAAACAATGGGATCCACTGCTGGTTACTTACTGAGAACAGTGATGAGTTCACTCATCCCTCGAGCAGCAGCAGGCGGTGTAGAGCGTTAACCACCGTCTTCTCATACAAAGACGCTTGCTCTGTTAAGCACCCACCGGGGTGGGTGTTGACTTCGATCCTACTCCGCTGCTTGAACCATGGTTTGCCATCTCCATCTCCGGTGCTAGTTTTGATTACTAGACATCAGCATGCGTCTTGCAGGTGATGGAATAAATATCGCTCAACTTGTGAATCACCAACTAAGATCCAGAGAGCGACGTGCATGAGAGGAGGGAGGATTCCCGTGAGTCAATAACTTAGAGCAGCATCAACTCGTCGACGAGGAACGGCCTCCTTTCTTGCGCTCCACAATGTTAAAAGCTGCGGTCTTTCATTAGTTGGAGCAGTTAGATCTGCATTTGCGGTGGGTGGTTGATGATGAGGTTTCTCCGGAGAAAGCTACCAAAAAGGTGGAGAGGCAACTTTTATATCGACTGCTAGCTTAATATGACAAAACCTTTTTCCTGTCAAGTGGAGTCCAGCTGAAAGAGTCATGGAGTAATGAAGCGTAGCGATCTTTGTTCCTTCCCTCTGCTTCTCGCATGCCGTGGATCACTATATGTTGGAGAACAGTAGTGTGCGTGTCTAGACTTTGTTTTCCTCAAAGGAAGAAAGATTCGAAGAAGGTGGAGGCCAGATCAAGTCGAGACAAGAGGAAGCCTCGGCACATTGCAGTAACTCCTTTTGATCCACGATAAGGTCTTGTGACGCACAACTGTGGCACGATCAAAACAGGGCAAAGGATGTCCGGATCGAAGCATAAACTATTGAAGGAGTTGTAGTCTCGAGAGCAGCACAGCATGTGATGACAGGGAACGACGGCCCTACTCGGCTGCTACTCGCGAGGCTGGCGCAGTACAACCACCCAAGGTCGGTACTGCCATGGAAGCGTCACCATGGCGCACCAACTAGTGATGATGATGATGTGAACCGTGGACTTCAGCATTAAAATCCCAAAAGAAATATTGCTCAGGATAGGAGCTTTGAAAAGGAGTCGGGACAGACAGCACATCCACCGAGATAGAGGAGGATTATGGTGCTGTGAGACGCAGCTGTAAGCGTTATGCTGGATTAAAATACGAAAATAATATTTATGTCAAAATTAAAATCAAATACATAGATATCGTTTAACGATGTGTGTCTTTTGATGCTATATGTTCAGAGATTTTTGTTTGATCTACCAATATCATCTTTAATCTAAGATTATTGTAAGTATCGTCTTTAATCCAAGATCTTTGCGGAATCTGTAAGGAGTACATCCTTTCTCCTCTCTTCCTATTCTTTCACAGGACTAACTAGATTGATGTAGATTGATGGTTTTATGGAGACGGTTTGGGCAGAGGGTTAAGAAAAAAAAAACTGTAATCTCTTCGGATTTACGATAAGATTTTATGAGATTTTCTCCCATCAAGATTATATCTTATTCAATTATAAAGGGTCACAAAATTTGTCCGATATAAGGGTTTTCTTCACCTATAGATCACAGATATTTGTCCGACTCGTGTTTCACCTCGCTAGGAGGAATCATTAACTTCTTACCTATCACCTTTGACCGGATTTAAATACAGCTCTCTCCGAGACTACTGTCATAGCATCCCATTTTGAGGTTCTTTGGCTCACAAGGGCTAATTACATATTTTAGTCATCATAGTTTTAAAAATACTATAAATAACTTTATTCATTTTTAATGACACCATCTGTTTCTTTGACGAAATCCTCTACATGAGATATCACATACCGAATTGGTGATTAAATGAAAGATAAATCCTTTATTTCACTTGCAATTGGACGGTTGGTTTTGAATGGCACTACGTCAAATCTTCACTTTTGCCTCGAATATTCGCTCCTCATGCAAACATCGACAAGGTTGACAGTAGAGGTGAGCGAGGCCATGAAGAATGTCGCGCGTGTAGGATCGAATCATGACCTCTTCTAAGAGATCGTCGTGCTTTTTGATATAGTCCGAGAGCGATCATTCAGAGGTGTACTTAGCCATGAGGGGCCTTAACGAAGATGTTAAAGTCGAGGTAGGAGACGATGTTGGGGTGGTGCAGATAAAAGAGGATGGCTTGTTCTCTTCTCATGAGAGCTCGACAGACTTGACGGAGAAGAGGTGTCCAGAGGTACTGCCACCGAACCATCGGTAGCGGCTCCACTACAACTATCTCGCTTGCCATGGCCTCTCCCTCCGGACACCTCTTCTCTGTCAAGTCCATCGAGCACACTCTCTCCGTTCTCTTGAGAAGAGAGCAGGTCATCCTCTCTTCTTTGCACCACCCCAACATCGTCTCCTACCTCGGCTTCAATGTCGTTGCCGAAGCCCCTCGTGATTAGGTCCTTCACCACCTCTTCTTGGAGTATACCTCCGAAGGATCACTCTCGGATTGTATCAAGAAGCACAACGACTACCTAGAAGGGGCCGTGGTCTGGTCCTAAAATATCATATATATTTGTTTAAGGTGATTTAATCTTTTTTTATTTGATTTATTTTTGTTTGGGTTCTAGAATCGATGGTCACTAGATTTAGGTTTATTTAAAATTATATAAAAAAAATTGAATAAAATGATACAACAAGTTTGAAATTACATTGGGTCACAATAAATTTGTTAATTTTTAATGTCTTTCTTTGTTGGAATCCTCTACATATGATATAACGTGCCAAATTGGTGATTAAGTGAAGGGCAAAACATTCATTTTACCTACAAACGAGTGGTTGGCTTTGAATGACGCCACATCAACTCTTCACTTCTGCATCGAATATTCACTCAACAAGCAGACATCGACAAGGTTGACAACGGAGGTGAGTGAGGCCATGAAGGATGTCGCGCACGTAGAACCAGATCACGACCTTTTCTAAGCAATCATCATATTTTTTGAACAGTCCAAGAGCGATTCTTTTAAGGTGTACTCCCAAAAGACACCGGTGATAGAGGACTCGGCCATGAAGGGCTTTGGCAATGCTGTTGAGGTGGTGCATGGAAGAGAGAATGGCCTATTCTCTTCTCATGAGAGCTCGAGGGACTTGCGGAGAAGAGGTGTTTGGAGGTGCCACCTCCGGACCATCGGTCGTGACTCCACCGCAACTATCTTGTTTGCCATGGTCTCCTCCGAATACCTCTTTTCCGTCAAGTATGTCAAGCTCTCTCCCCACTCTCCTGAGAAGAGACTAAGCCCTCCTCTCTTCTTTACACCATCCTCTCGGCTTCGACGTAGTTGCCAAAGCCTCTCATTGTCAAGTCCTTTAACCCGTCTTTTTGGAGCACACTCCCGAAGGATCGCTCTCAAATTATATCAAGAAGCACGATGATTGCCTAGTAGAGGTCGTGATCCGATCTTATTTGTTCGACATCCTTCATTGCCTTACTCACTTCCACCGCCAACTTTGTTAATATATGCTTGCTGAGTGAATATTTGAGGTAAGTGAAGATTAGATACAGGGCAAAGTCCGCAAGGCCATTCAAAACCAATTATCCATTTGTGGGTGAAATGATAAGATCTATCCTTTTACCTAATCACCAAGACAACACAAGATATCACATGCAAAGAAATAGATGGCACAAATTACGTATTTTTAAAATTATGAAGATCTAATATATTTTTTAAAAATCCAGAAACCAATGCTAAAAGGGGCAACTCCAAGGAAAAACATGTAATTAGCCCAACTCAAACTTTCCTCTTTATGGAATACCAAGCATATTCTTTTAAGGTGATTTATTTTTTTTTCATTTGATTTAATTTTTTTAGGTTTTAAAACTGATGGTTACCAGATTTAGTTTTATTTAAAATAATATAAAAACCTTCTGATAGATGATATAACAAGTCTGAAATATATTTATTTAAAGCAATAAATTTTTTAAAAAATAATAAAATAACATTGTTCACAGTGAAAACCCTATACGGAAAACTTCATTACCGGAGACTATGGTTGGCAAGCGATCTACTTGGCTCATGCTACCAAGGGAATCGTAAAGAATTGCCGTCTGTTAAAGAGGGTCATAAAGCATTGGAGGTTGGAGAGATAATGGGATTTTTGCCATTTTGTTTGAGGGCTATAAAGAATTGCCGTACTGAGCTATTCATTTCAAATACAACTTAGATATCCAGTTAATGAAGCCGAAGGTCAGATATTTGATTATCCAATCACATGCTTATTAATTTGCTACTTATATGTTACCGTTCCTAACTACATAACAGCCATCATGATCCATGTTATATAATAACAGCAAGAGAGCGCAAAATGTGACAACATAAGTTACACGAACACAGTCAAGAAATTAAAGGGTATGGGCATAATAAAAACCCTGCTAGCTAGAAAGAGACGTAGGAATATAACTTCATGACATAAATATATGAAGAGGTACCTTCAACTCAAGAAAATGATATACACCCTGCGATATGACAGCGTGACGGCCACCCTTTTTAACTGTCAGCAGCCGGCGTTGGACAAATAAACTTAGACATGTTATTAGAACTACCTGAAGAGTTTTATGCCCCACTAGCATAGAGACGTGTCCATTCTTTTGCTGCATTATCAGATAAAGTCCATAAAAAGAACCATGGTGAGAAGCTTAATACAGAGTCAAGACAACCTGATTTTACTATTTGCTGGGAATAATTAAGAACATCAAAAGCAAGGCACAGATGCAACAATAAGAGCATAATCTTACCAGTTTCGACAGCTTCTGCTTCATTTGTCTTCCAATGTTTTGCAATGTTTTCTGAAAGAGGGTCATCTGGGTTTGGGGCACTAAGAAGTGCTTGTATGCTGAGCATGAAAAACAATAATCATGCAAGACTAGATAAAAGAAAAATAAAAATTATGCAAAAACTGCTATCATTTTCCAAGCTGAAAAAGACAATGATTCTTATCATGATTCTATCAAGATTTACAGCAACACTATTTTCTAGTTTGAAAAGAATAAATTTAATTTGTAACAATGTCCTTGTTAGAGCTTTTTCTTTTAATTTAATGCCAAGAAAGAGTGTCAAGCTTAATATGACAAGTCAGGATAAGTCAAAAGGAATTAGGAAATCCATCAGTTTTCCATGTTTATCATCTCTTGTTCAGTTGCAACAAGTAACTGAACAATTCTATTGCTATTTATTAACAGCATCTAAAGAAAAGCCAAAGAGAATCAATTAAATCAAATTCTATTGCTATTTATTATTTGGGAATATTATAATATTCTAGTTGTGTAAATACAATCAATTAAAACAATCACATTACCTAAGTAGTACTGTTCGAATTTGGAGGGCTGGACTCCATTTGTCCTTTAAAATGTCAAGGCATATTCTTCCAAGCTGCAGATGAAACTCTTGGATTATAATTGTTTTTCTGTGAGAAAGATAAAAGGGAAGAAATGCAACGCCTTGCCTTGTCAATGTTGGGGTGATAAATTTTGGTGAGAAAACGGACCTGTTTCAAACTCAATGAAAAAATAATAGACGGATTAGTTAGATAGATTAAAGAAGCACCGACAGACAAAGACTGTAAGGAGCATGAAACACCTATATACAGGTAGTATAATTTCTGTTGTCCTGCCATGTGGCAAGAAGAAATAAAGCCCAGTGCCAAAAGAGGACAAGACTACAAAGATAATACATTTAAACAGAATAGATGATTTTGTAATCCGTGGTCATGGATGGCAGGAGAAAAATGAAACTAAAAAAAATGAAAAATAAAATGTGGCTTTTGTTTGTAACTTATAGATCAACTTCAGAATTAAGACTAGTAAACTTCCAAGTTCCAACTACTATTTAGAACATTATATTTTTAAAAATAAAAGATATGTGCTTAAAACATGAGTGCATATGCAAATAGAGGGAGAGAGGGAGGAAGGGGGAGGTAACGAAGAGGTGAAACTATCAGCTTCTTGGATGTCCATTTATTCATAACTCACAAGTTAAAACTTCCTACCAATCAAAATGTCAGCAGCAAAACACGAGGATGAGGAATTGATAGCTGGCCCTCATTTCAAGAACTTAAACTCAACCAGTAAAATTAGTTTCATAACACAGGAATATCAGCAAAGAGGATTTTCAGAATGCACCATTTATTTTTTTTCTTTTGAGCTTTTGGATTAGTTAGAATTTTGATGCAGTTCCTAAAGGCTTAGGAGTCTGCATGCAGCCATAGTTTGGTAATTTTATACCAAAGCTTCCTGTAGAATAGTTTCAGCTTGGTGCTGTATTGAAAAAGCAAACCCAATAAGAGAAAAAAAACACTTGGACATTGGCGACTAATTAATTATACATAGATTATCAGCCTTCTGTTTTGGTTAAAGTGTGAATGAAAAACTTCCAAAAATGTAACCGAGAAAGAATATAGGAAAAGAACCAAGACAATCGCCTTACCATTACATGATGGACATGACATTAGCTAGTGTTATCTTACCTTTGGGGCAGCCATTGGATATTCCTCAGGCAAAAACAACTCGAGCTTGAAAACCCCTCCTGTGTAAAGGTAAAAGAAAAATAAAGTGATTACTTCAGGACAGAATCCATAGAAGATCAAAATATTTATAAATATTTGCTAACAGAAAAGACCCTTTTTTTTTTCAATTTATCGTCCTTAAATTATAAGCACAATTAGATAAATTAAATGCCCTGTGGTTTGAATTGTGAAATTGATAAGCTGTGCAGTAATGCAAATGCCAAGATGATATCCTAGTTTCATTCAAACCTTTCACTTCCGGCTTCAACTCAAGATGCTACATGTCCCACATGGTATCACCCCAGGTACTAAGAATGGTGAGCTCTTAGAATATTGGTTCCAAATCCAAATCAGTTGGCATTAGAGATCATTCCTTACAGATAATGGAGAAATTAGGTTTATGGGATATGGACTAATTGATTCATGTAGCCGACACCAAATAGTTGAAACTTATGGCTTTGTTATAGTTGGATATGGACTAATTGATCTCGAATAATAAGAGTAATTTCAATTGATATCAGAGCAAAAGTACTTACAACAAATGAAATTACATGTAGAAAAAATCATTTGCAACTGAGACGGTTTCGCAAGATACACATCTATACACTACAGTAAGTATTCATAAGCTAGACAAAGATTTAATCGCCAATATGCATCAACGAGAAAGCCAATGCCTATTTACAACTGCAGCCATACACAAGTGATTGGATACTTTACAATTCACACTCCATATCTCTAAGGCACGTTACTTCCATCAGTTTGAAAAAGAAAAAAGGCGATAATCACCTAGCACTTATTTCTCATAAAATTATGCGTGAAAGATCAGCAAAAGGATCCATGCTATCATTAGCAAAGTAGTCACCTTCATACGGAGACTGAGTTGGCCCAAGGATCATCACATTGAAGTAGCGCATGTTATCCTCGGACGGAGATGCACTTATGCCAGGAGCTGCCACAAACAAAGCAACGCATGAGCCAAAACCCTAACACAACAAGCAATCCCGGGATCGAAAACCTAAATCCAACACCCTAGTGTTCAAAATCTGACCACCTTGACTTAAAATTGAAGACCAAAAAACCAATTATAATGTGCAAGAAACATCCCAAAGAAGTAACACAAAATAGTACCTGGTTCGCTAAGAAGACGCTGCGTTTCCTGTCCGACCAAAAAGGATCAAGCAGCCAAGATGAGTTAAACCAAACCAGAAAGTTACCAAGAGAGAAAGAGATCAAAACCCCATCTCTTCGTGGATCGGGATCTTGACAAATCGGAGAGTAGACGAAGAAAAAAATGAAGAAACCACGGTGACAAAATCGAATCCGAAGCTCTCCGACCGAGGACTTACCTTGATGATCCGTCGAGGGAGGTTGCTGTTTGCCATCGGGACGATGATCTCTCTCTCTCTCTCTCTCTCTCTTACCGATCTAGACCTTCACTCTCGTATGGAAAGCCCCCGGCAAAAGAAAAAGGGCACGGCCTCATGTCGCTCGAGTGGAATGGCTTTATATACAGCCTTCTCTCCCGGCTAAAATTAATTTCTTCTTGTAGTATTCCAAAGTGGTTAATTTTTATAAACGTGAATAATAAAAATACTTGACCGTGTAATTCAAATTGGGTTCCGCGTGTAAACCTTTTTGGGCTTCTATGACTCTAGTAGAAGTTTCCGGAATCCTGGCAAATCTGTTGGAGTTGGCAGTTAACCACTCGAGCGGACACTGCTTGGCAATTGCTTAAATGACAAATTTGGAGAACATAAAAGTGAATCATATACAAGTAGTATTTAAAGATGGCTTTCAGGTAGGATAGTAGTGGAAGAATCATCAGGAGGCACATGGCTTTCAGGTAGGATAGTAGTGGATGGCCACCGTGACAAAGTTCCTTCGCAGATCATATCGTCCAAGAGGAACCTTCCGGGATTCCTTCAAACGGTCAATCTATAGACCACCTGGGTAAGCGAGGAAGAGCAAGCGTTTCCCTACGCTACCAGCCAGCCCCTGTTTTGAGAAGGCTGTAACATGGGTTGCGAGTTTTATGCTCCTATGTGAAACACTAGGTAAGATGAACCTAAAATATCGACTCTGGTCTCCTACAACATGGAAAAGGTTGACCCACACAGAATAGGCACACATCCGCTTGACCCTGCACCTCGACATTGTTGAACAATGATACTATTGTCTCTTAGTGCATTATTACATTAATCTAGCGGAAGAAACTAAGGCAACAGATCCACCACAACTGATCATTGCAGAAAACAAAAAACATTGATTCAGCAACAGGGAACGCTCATGACATCACATCTCTTTAGGCAGCCACCAAACAGATCAAACACTATAACATGATAGTACCGGGACTAGACACGGAAGCAACAAGATCTTCAACCTCCAAGTTCAGATAAATTTCCTAATTCAAGTCGATTAAAATGAGAACAGGAACCAATAACAGATAATCTAAAAACTAGACCAACCGGAATTCAAATGATAAGAACAGCTTCCAAATAGTCATCCACTGGGCGTCACCAGTTCGGGCATCCTCACTGCAAAACATTTTTCAATATTGAAGGTTAGAATTCTTGGAATAATATCAGATTCAGCAGCAACTCATCTCATGCCCCTGAATAGTGCATATAACTATGCCATGGATGTGGTTTACCACGATGGTGCCGGGCAGGCACGAATTGAGTTAAACATATACAGAAACCAACCTCTGCATCTTCGACTGCACCAGGCTTGCCATTACTTTCCTTTATAGGATCTTCTGTTGCTGCTTAAATCAGGGGAAAACATTAAAATTGATTTAGACTTTTCTGGATGAAACCCAACAAAGTCGTAAGCAAATACTGATGTGAAAATTAAAATGGTTGCTTTAGTAATTTATTATACAAATTACCAAGAAACAAGCTCTGTTTAACCAATTATATCATGTTTCATACAAGATTAAAGAGTGGAAAATTTGCAGGGTTCATAAATTATTCAATCTCCAAATAATGTTCAGCACATGACCCGAGCATGCAACACTTGGTTAAAAACTAACATTGCAGTGAAGAAAATGGCTTGGGTATATTTGGCTGTGGGAAAACATAGGGAAAATTCCAGATTCAATCAAGCAGCCATATAGTCCAATTTGGTGGGGATTTTGCATGGTATTTAAAAAAAATAACTCCAGGATGTATCAACTCAAACAAACTCAACTGCAATTTTCTTCTTTATTTCTCCCCAATCAATGGTTTCATTTGTGACTTCAAATGCTAATCAAGTTGGAGTCTTGTAAGTAATAACATGTTATGATCAGGATGATGAATTAATTAGAACTCTTGAATTAGCTACCCAAGAACTCAATTATCTCTTACCAATTGTTTCATCCTCATCAGACCTCTTTCTGGGCTTTTTTTGTTACCACCTTTTAACTCTGTACATGTTGGCCTATGTCATATTATAACAACTACAAGCACGAACCCACCTCCATGAGAGCTTTGGATTACTAGTCCTATGAAGTAGGACCATTGCTTGCATCACTATCACTCCATAATCAAGGGTATAATTCAAATTATTCTAAAAAACAAACAAGTATGATAAAAGAATCTAAAGTCCAACACAAGCAACATTCATTGTTTTAGAACATGAATCTTTTTAAGAGAATAACTAGGGATTTCAACAATCAAAGAAATAGCAAACCTTCTTCAGCGATATGATTGACACACAAGAACATAATGTTTGGAAACCAATTTCTTTGGTAATGACATATTAATACGTTTTAGTGCTTGATAATAAAAATAAAAAAGTTGAGATAATCTGAACCTAGATTAAGTTCTTTGCATTGCGTCGGAGGAATTTTTCACCTATAATGGGAATAGTTAAGCAACTAGCCACAACCAAACATGCCAATGTGGCCATCAGCCACAAAGTTGACAGATGCTGGATCAGAAACTAAGAAGCATATTTTATCCATTAAGGACAATCTCACAGCATATTTTGATCTTTTACAGTAACACTAGAGACAAGCAAGACATTAAGGCATCCATCAGTCCTAGACAATCCCAAGAATCTCTTGTGCACTTCTAAATTGAACCTAAGTCCATCTCAAGAATTTCTTATGCTCTTCTTATTCTAAATTGATTTAAGCTAAAGCCATATTACTACAAAGCTTTCCTTGCAAAAAGATAGCAAAACAATCAACTAAAACAAAATTAACCTATCCCAAAAGCATGTTCTTTCAGATGCCAGCAAAAATAACCTTTGTAATCAGTTAAATATTACCTCCATCTTCAGGGATGTCAGATGTCCATAAGGTAAGGTTATCCCTCAATAGTTGCATAATCAATGTGCTGTCCTTGTATGATTCTTCACTCAGTGTGTCAAGCTCAGAAATAGCTTCATCAAAGGCTTGTTTTGCAAGGTGGCAAGCCCTGAGGTTAGAGAAGTCATTTGAAGAATCAGATAATGGGCATACATCTAACGTGCTGTTCTATAGGATGTGGCATACCGTTCAGGTGAGTTCATGATCTCATAATAAAATACAGAGAAATTCAATGCTAATCCCAATCGAATTGGATGAGTAGGAGCGAGATCTGCCTCGGCTGTACTTGTGGCTGCCTGCAACGCGATACAGGTAATACTACTTCAGCAAAAAGAGACAAGCTTATTAGAGCAACATCAAATTCACTGGGCATAAGAAAAATAATCCAAAACATCCATGAGATCAAAAACTTCTCTCCTGCAAAGCAACATGAAACAATATAAAAAAATAAAAGAAGACTTGAGAGGAAATACATAATACATATATGCCCTAAAGGGCAGTCCACGAGCCATAAAGCCATATTACAGCTGAGATGGTAGAACTTAATAATGTACTTCAGTGCAAACTTGTGCATGCATCAGATATACCTCCAACAGTTTAAAATCACAAATCTAGACTTCAAAAACCATGTGAATGTTTTTAACTACCCACAATTACCACCTCTGAAGCTCGCAAGAATTACACTGTGATAATTAGTTATATACGATAGAGAGGTACGTAGTTCCTGCTCCTCATTTAGCTCCATCAATTTAACCATAGTAATGAACATGAATTAACTGAAGACAAAATTTCAAACCCAAATGCAAATTTGAGCAACAACGACGACATATGCAAGCTTCAGTTTCTTGAATATAACAAGGTTAAATAGTAGTCATACCCTTCTGAGAAATTAAAATGTTACTGCAATCATCAACTACTGAAAGGGATCCAACAAGCAACTAACTATAAGTCCCTCAGATAAAAGAAATAATCCTCAGCCAACAATATCACTAAAGAGAATACAGAAAAGCGATTACCGTCGATCTTATTCAAAATAGTGATGTTTTTTAACCCTCTTGGTCCACAAGGAAAACAAAACATAAGGGAACCACCACAAAAGATATAGGTAAAAAAGAAGTAAAATCAGCCTGCAGCTGACAAGTTCATTAAAACATGATGTTTACATAGTAAATCATGAGGAAGATAACTACTGCGTACCGCTGTCTACTGTCATTCATTAATGTATAACTAACTACTCTGTTTAAGCATGCATGTTGTAATCAATGCGAATGCGACGAATAACGGGAGCTTGAACTACTGCAAAATGAGCACACACAAGAATGATTTTATATTATCATGAGATATTCTGGTAAAAAATTCTGCTAAATTATCGGATAGAATCATACAATAACAACAGTTCTAATGGAAACGGAACAATGGTTTTGGAGGAAGCAGATTCTAATAATGCAAAATGCTTACTAATTGGAAATACAAATGTTCTCCAACGGGGCAGTCAAACCAAATCGTAAGATACAAATGTGGGAAAGGCAAATAAAAGAATCTTGGACCTGATACGCTGTTAGAGACTGTTCTGCTACTTCTTTCCTCTCATTCCCAGCCTTGAACTCCGCCAGGTAACGATAGTAATCGGCCTTCCTGCGATCGAACCATGACGTGACTTCAGACCAAAAAAGAACAGAAGGACCAGCAAAACAACATGTAGACGATTTCAGATCTGACTCACATCTTATAGTAGAATACAGAGGATTCCCCGGCCGACGACGAAGGGATGAGGTGCTCATCGATCAGGGTAACAATATCAGTGCAGATGTTCGAGAGCTCCAACTCCACCTTCTGCCGGTACTCCTTGATGTTCTTGACATGGTGCTCGTTCCCTCTCGACTCCTCCTTCTGCTCGATCGAAGAGAGGATCCTCCAGGAAGCCCTCCGTGCGCCGACCACGTTCTTGTAGCCCACCGAGAGCAGGTTCCGCTCCTCCACGGTGAGCTCCACGTCGAGCTTCGCGACCTTCTTCATCGCATCCACCATCTCTGCCACGAGCAACACGGATCGGATCGAGGGACGGCAAAATCCCTCACCATGGGAAGAGATGGGAACCCTAGGGATCGAGATCAGAGGGAAGCAAACACATACCGTCGTAGCGCTCGGCTTGCTCTGCGAGCTTGGCGATGTAGACGAAGTTCTCGCGCTCCTTCTGCGACGCCATTTCCGATCCACTCGGGGCTCTTCCCCTCGATCTCTCCCTCCTCTCCCTTGATGCTCGCTTCGGTGTCGAGAAACCAACAGGAGGACAGGGGAGGAAAGGACGGCGATGAAGTGTCTGAGCAGGTGCGGCAGCGGGGCTATTTATGGCAATTGACAGCGGTAACTTTTAGGATTGACCGGGGGATGGGATCGGGATGGACGGATTAGTTGAACCAAATCCCGTATATGATTAAATAAGATAAGATAAAATAAAATAAAAAGTCATAATAATAAAAAGGTGTAAATTTTCCACAATTGCGAGGTAATTAAAATTTAAAATAATAATCACAAATAAATTTACTAAAAAATCAAAATAAAAAAATAGATGAAAAGGTGAAATCCCGAAAAGATCATTAGATTTGGTTTTTTTTTTTTCTTCCCACAAAGAGATTTGGTCTTCTTTGCTTTTTGTTCATAGAGAATTTTCTTTTGTTTTTACTTTTCAATTTTATCATATATGTTTTCCCTCCTTTTTTTACTTTGTTTGGCCCATTAGATTTGATCCATGGGTTCAATTCAATAAATTCCATATTGGTTCAAATAAGACTGAAAATACTACTAATAATGCATGCATTATTATTCTTCGTGTTGTTTTTCCTTAGTTGGGACCATAGATTAAATTAAAAATTTAGCTAAAATATTAAAAGCTATAAAATAATTTAGAATACATGTCAAAATCAAATTCAAGATAATTTAGTGTACCTATCAATTTTGATATTATTTTGAAAGTCAAATATGTTTTAAACATTATTTATAGATTTTTATAATTTTTAATACGAATATATTTCTCATGTTTTTTTTTTTTTATGCTTCTTGGTTTTGTTATTAAGAATACTTTGGCGAAAAAGGTAATCGGTTATAAGAAGGTGAATGGCCATATTTACATTGCTTCGAGTAGATGACTAATTACGTGTTACCTTATATGATTAGATCATATTAGTATTGCGATCCCTATTCTTAAAAAAATTATATTATGATCCTTATAGTTCTGAAAGTGAAATAAATAATCTCATTTATCTTAATATTATCAGCTGTATTAACGAAAAACATAACATGTGAGATTGGATCAATACAAAAATGATAGAAAAAAATGATAATTTTAATATTTTTTCTGTTTTCAATAAGTGAGATATTGAAATTATCTTTTTATCGCTAAAATCGTTGAAAATAAATTAGATAATGAAATTATCTTTTTACTTATCATTTTCGTATCGATCCAACATGTGATGTCATGTATTGCATTTTTATTAATATAACTGACGATGTTAGAAAAATAAGATTATTTATTTTATTTTTAAAAATTATAAAAAAAATTAATATAAAATTTTAAAGTACAGAAACTATGATACTAATCAAGTAAAAGAACGAATACATAATTAGCATTAGAGTAGACGGGTTATCATTTCTTGAGTTTTATGATTGATCGGGAAAAAGCCTATGACGTGAGGTTGTTTAATAGAAGAAAGTCTTCCTAAAGGTGTCTCTCTCGTAGTTTGTGTATTTAGTTCGGACACTACATGACTTCTTCTTCCTACTTTGGTATAGTCTTAAACCGTCAACACACATATGAATCATGTGTTAATAATACATGGATAAGTTCTTTTTGTGAGCCACCAAACTATAAAGTAGAGCAGCATCAGGCATTACTTATCTTTCTATGGTTCCACATTGTCTCTTAGAAACGTGTAGGTTATGGGGCAATCGAGGCTGCATGAGATTAAAGTATAATTGACCCATTGGAAAAATATCAGTGCACATCTTAGATAATCTCAGCTAAAAACGTAATAAAAATGATGAATTCAGAAATAAACCTCGATGGGTTCGAACCCATACTGAAACCACAAAATCATAACAAATGACACGACCACAATATCATAAGAATGCCAAAAATATTATTCTTGGTAGGAAAGCTTATGTTCCTCTATGGATTTTGTGCACGTACTCGAACACTCGACACCCATTTCATTCGTCAATGTCATATTCGGACGTTTGTGTTCGTGCAATAAGAGTTTCAATACAACTCTAACTCTCTGTCTTCTCACGTGCAAACAAGTAGCGGATAGACATGCCATCAGTCATCATCCGACTAATTAAGGACGGCTTATATTAAATGCGCATGATGATGGTTGACGACAATAATTTTATGATCCAATCGTGCTGTACATAAATGACATTTCATGCGTGCATCATAAAAAGGAGCACTGTTAATGGCAGTCAAAGCAGATGAACGCGTTTGTTTGGTCGGTCAACGAAGCTATCTATCTGTTCAAAGTTGACTTTGTTGAAGGTACAGATGCAACTGTGATCGCTTTGACGTCCACTACAGTTTTGGCATATCAACAATTATGAGTCGAGTTGTTTCTGAGGTGTATGCAACTCCTTTTTGTTTCTCCTGTTGTTACGTGACATGGGAAAGGCTGGTCAACCTTTCCTTTGACCTTTTACTGGAAGGAAGAACTTGGTTGAGTCCTAAGCATCTTACTGAATTGTGAGATGGGCTTTGGTTAATGGTGAGTCTGTACAAAAGAAGCTTTTCATGGCGAAGTAAAGGAGATGTCCATTTCCACGGTTGGTTAAAAGATCACAAACATACAGACATCCTTTGGCTGTGGGAGCCGTACACTGTGACTCGAGGAGTAGATCCTCGAGAGTCAACGAGGTCCACCACTGTGCCTGCGGTCAACTATCGCCGGGGCGTCTGGTGTCAGGAGCCAGCGATCCATCGCCGCCGCCCCGTCAGAGTAGCCAGACGGCTGGCACACCAGGACGCAGACAGAAGGGATGACTGCGGTTGCTGCGGCGGCGGAGGAGGCTCCTATGCGGTGTGCGGGGCGACCCCTCCGGCGGCCAGCGCCGACGGGAACGTTTCTGCGGAGGGTGCCGCCGGCTGTCCAGTAGCGGTGGCAGGCCTTGCAGAAGTGGCGCGGCTGGTTGACGTTGTAGTTGTTGAAGTAGCAGAACCTGGTCTCCTTGCTCTTGCACCTCGGGCACGACAGCGCCGCCGCCTCTTCCTGCGCCTCCACCCGCTTCTCCTCTTCCTCCTTGGCTTGTCTGTCCCCCTTTTGGATCACCGTCCCGAAAAGTTTGAAGCTTACTGCTTCCTCTACTTGTGCCATCAGATGGATTTGTTGTAGTGTTAGGCCGAGAGAGAGAGAGAGAGAGAGAGTTGTAGTGTTAGGTTGAGAGGGATAGGGGGAGCAAGGAGAAGTGGAGAGCCATACTGCAGAGGAGAGAGACACATAAATGGTTATGGATTAGCCAAAGAAAGCAGAAAGAAGAGTACTCAAAAGAAAAGCAAAAGGAGTGACTTTGTCAAACAAGACTTGTAGTTTGGTGTGAGGGAATTGTTCTTCTCCATTCCCTTTGTCGGTAATGGAATTATCTGAAGTGGGGGGGGCTTCTACTACATATAGAGGAAAGGGCTGTGTGGAATGGACATTTCCTGAGGGGGAATTTAAAATATCTGAAATGGGTATAACTCTGTTTTTAGCTTTTTATCTCGATCTTCGTCTGAAGACTATCTCCGATGACTTCTCGACGTCTTGTTATATCCATCTCATCTCATCTCATCCTACCTCGGTTAAACATGAGAGCTTACAATTGCATCATCGCAACACCTATGTATGATATGACCCTTTTTTGCGAGTTGTGAGCAAGTCTTAGTTGGCTACGATCACCTCAGGAAGCGTGTTTAGCACAACCAGCCAGCTCAAAGGAAACATCCTATGGGCTTCTTCCCAACCTCCTTACTGGGTCGAGAACCAAAAAGTCGACAACCAGCCACCTCAACTTGAAAGATGTATAGTGACTTATTCTGGAGTTTCTTTTGGAGAAAGAAAAAGTTGGGCAAAACATTTGAATAGTGTAAGACTGGGGATTATTGATATGGTTCCATTTGGACAAGCAAAAGCAAGATAAGTATGTGAAAAGTGCAAGTTGAGGAGTAGGGTAAGCAATTGCACTTGAGAACCATTGACTATAGGCATTTCTCACCTAGCAAAGTGCATCCAAGTGGTCATCCTCACAAAGGGATATGCATCTTGTGACAATCACCACATATTCTTCTTCACTCACACGATGGCTCCTGCAAATATGAAAGGGTGAGCAAAGGATAAGATCGAGTAGGGAGGAAAAGAGAGAGCAAATAAAACAAACAGGAATAGAATCAAAGTGTACTCGCAAAGAAAGGCTTTTTTAAGATGTTAATTATGATGAACGAGCACTTGTCACGATATAGAATCCAGCTTGGTTTTGATGAGAGAGAAGAGAAACACGGATTGAAGCATCAAGAAAACACATTTAGAGCAACTTCCTAAACCAGTTATCAATCAATACATAAAAGATAGGCAGCAGCAACTACTCGTGAATACTGTGAACAGCTGACACAGGCAAAGCAGAAATATTCCAGTTATTCTAATCACAGTCTCTTACCAACTTAGAACGATGGCTTTAGTCCCTGGAGCACCTGTAAGGTGTAATGCAAGAGCGGAAGAATGAAAGTTAACAGAAACCTCAGTTCCGACATCATCCCAGGAAATGTATCAATCTGAGAAGCAGACCAAGAACATCTGATTAAATCATATAGCCAAACAGTGCAACATATCAGAATGCCCCAGTGTGGAAGATTGGAAACATGAAAGCTCTTGGAGATTTTGATCAATTCCAGACTCATGATAAATGTGAACTGAAAAACGAAAAGACAAAAAAAACAAAAGGAAGAAAGACACCGAGAGAATTAATTTTGCCATCAGCTTCCCAAACAAGGCTTATTTCTTGCCATTAGTAATCAGGTGGCAAAGCTGAAAGTGTTTCAGAACTACTGGTTGCTGTCTTCGGGAACCGACAAAAGCAGCAACGCTGCCATGGCAAAAATTAGCTACATAAAATAACAGTAGTTTGCGATGCTTTATTGAGGAGATACGCAGAGCACATAATTCAACCAGTGTTCTGCAGTCCAGCAGCAATACCCTTCATCGTTAAGATGAGGGTGTCCTCTAACCCAGGGGCGTATTCGCTGCTTGGATTAAGCTTCACCAGTTCTGCAGCTGGTTTGCTGGACTCTGTTATCTCCTTTGAGAGATGAGGTCTCACGTTAACATGGTAGGAAGGGTCTCTGATCCTCTTCAAAGTGTAAGCTTGGCAGGCATTCAAAGTTGTAATGTAGGCATCACGCAAGCGTAGTCTCTGCTTCAGATATGGATCCCCTTCTAAAAGATCTTTGTGACCAGCAACCTAGAATGAATAATTGCAGTAGCCTTTTCAGAACTAAGCATTTGAAAATTGATAACATAAACAATGAACTCGTAACCTTTTCTTGAAACATATTTCGAGATGATATTTCCCGAAAGGACGGACATATTAGTCATAACGGTCTCATATATGATAGTTATGCTTGAACGCATATAAAGGGACTCTTAACTAAAGTTGACTATATAAAAGCACCTACGATCGTATAAGACATGCTGATAACAAGAGCAATCCAAGGATACTTTAGCAAACATTTGATGTGGTAGAATTACCGTGATCTCTTTCCTGGATGCTTGAAAGGAAAACTTACTTCGGTATGCTACCCAACCTTCCTCTAAAATGCATTCCATATATCTTTTTAATTCAAAGTTAAACTAATAAGAAGGATGACGTTAAAAGGAATTAAAAATCTTACTCCGAGTATAATTTCCCCTTTGTGTATTTGAAGTCATTAAGTATAACTGCTAATATTGGATAAAGTAATTTCCCTTTTTCTGAAAATATCATCTCACCATGGAAAATAAGCTTCAAACTGATGTATATTTAGTTGTAGATCAGATTGATTGGATGCATATAGATTAAAACCAACAATGACAATTTAAAGCAATCAAAACATCTTAACTTTTTGTAACAATCACAATGATCCGACTTGCAATTAAAATAAAGGTTGATGAGAGAATTTGCCTGAAGAAGAAGGCGCTTTGTTTCTTCATAGTTGGCTCTAAGTTGCTCCCCAAATTTCCACAAATCTTGAGAAACCAACAGTTTATCATATAAAGCAGCAATTCCAGGATCTCCCTTAGCAAAAACCATCTCAACCAAATCAATTGTGACTCTGAAAAATGGCCATTTGTTGTACATCTCTTGAAGAGTATGAAGATTCCTGATATCTTTTTGCATAACATGCTTGAATGCTGCACCAAAACCAAGCCACACTGGTAGGTGAAACCGTGTTTGTGTCCATGCGAAGATCCATGGAATTGCACGTAGTGATTCAATGCCCCCACTGGGCTTTCGTTTTGATGGCCTGCTGCCAATATTCATCCTACCATACTCCAGCTCAGGTGTAGCCTGAAAAATATAGCAGGAATTACAATATGAAGAGGGAGAAGAAAGGGGGGAGGTGTCCTACCAGGAGGATTTACAATTGAGGCCTCAATCCATTAGGTAAAAGCTAATTATAGAAGCTTTAAATTGAAGATAAAAATTTTAGTAAACATTATCTAACTAACAATTAAAGAACCCAAAACAAGCATCATGTAACCTGTGGACCTTTTGTGTGTTCAATGAGTCAAAGACATACATGGAATGCAAAGGTATTTGCTAACTAAAATATGAAAATTAAAAATCCAAATCATTGATCTCATTCATAATCTTTCAAATAATACAAACATGGTACAATTTTTTTAATTTCTATATGTTAATTAAATATGCATGTACTTGTTAGTTGTTACAGAACAGCAGACAGATGATCTTTTTAATTCAAAAGATCTACATTGTCAATGATCATGTTCACCAGTCTTTGATACTCAATTTAGAGCCTCCACACACACATCTACACACAAACAAAAAAGAAGTATCATTTCAAAGTAGATGTAGTTTTTCCATAAAAGTATTGTCATGGTTATCCAGGTACTGAAACTATGGTGGGGAACTGTAATTTACACATGCTAGCTACAGGCTCAATGAATCATTTTTAAGGAATATTTCAAATAAAAAAGCTAGATTACTTACCAGGCGGAAATATTCAACAAAACGTGGTTCTCGGAAGACAATAGATCGATATTCCTCTGTGGCGACAACAGCCATTTCGTCCATCAAAGCCCGCCATTCTGGCTTTGGGGATATAGGGGGATGCATTCCATGCTCAAGAGTAGCAGCTGTGAAACGTTGGAGTGTCCTGAAGCACAAATGTTCTTCCCCAAAAGACTGCTCGATGACTTCACCTTGAACAGTAACCCGAAGAGACCCATGAACTGTGTCAGGTGGCTGAGATAGTATAGCAAGATGAGTAGGACCACCACCTCTTCCAACAGTTCCCCCACGCCCATGAAACATCATCAGTTTCACTCCATAATCCTTTGCAACTTTTATGAGCTCCTCTTGAGCTTTATATAACTGCCAAGCTGCAGAAAATCGCCCAGCATCCTTCCCTGAGTCCGAATATCCAATCATGACTTCCTGCTTCCCACAGATCCTGTTCTTGTACCAATCTATCGAGAAGAGTCGGGCTAAAGCAGCAGGAGCAGCCTCAAGATCTGCAAGTTTTTCAAACAATGGGACGACTCTCAATGGCTTTTTCACATGGCACTCACGTTGCAACAGCTCAACAGCCAAAACATCTGATGGAGCAGTCGCCATTGATATTATATAAGCCCCAAAGTTGTCTGAAGGAAGTTCTGCTATGACATGGAGAGTATCTAACACGTCAGAAATTTCATCAGTCTTGGGTAAGTCAGGGCCAAACAACGGGCGTTTTCCATTAAGTTCAGACAACAGCCATTCCTGGCGTTGCTCCTCAGGCCAGTCGCGGTAGGAACCGATTCCCAGATGTTTAGTGATAGCATCAATAACATCAGTATGCCTGTCAGATTCTTGCCTAATATCAAGCCTGACAAGAGACAGACCAAAGGTCGACACTTGGCGCAAAAAGTCAAGAAGGCTACCATCAGCAATAGGCCTATCACCACAATCACAGAGTGACCTATAGCAGAGTTCAAGAGGCTCCAAAAACTGCAAAATGGCCAGTGAAAAATTAAAACAGACCATTAACAGGATGTAGCATAAATGCAGTGAAATATAAGTCCTCTTAGCCATATTCCAAGTCTTGTTTCCAGCAGATGTGTGGAACAAAATCTACTTCAAAAGATGAAGCTCCAGATACATCTTATAAGATAGAAAGATTCAACAACTCTATCAGAGATAAAATGAATACGGCTACATCACAATACCTCCTCCACATCAGTGAAAGTTGCTTCCTCAGGAATGTCAGAATATCCATTGGAAAGTAAATGGCGGGAGCGCTCACGTGTGTTGTATAATTTATCTCTCACGCCGCTGAGTATAACACGATAAGGCTCACTTGAAGGAACTTGCTTCCAGAACTCTGTGTTCAAAAGACAATGGAAAGTGAGTAACACATTAATTGATGTCCATATGTTTTTAAATTCATAAAAGCATTTGTCTCTAATATGATCAACATAAATGATATATGAGATCATTGTACAGAATCAAATATAAAGCCTTCGCTTGGACATATTAGCCATCGAATAAATGCAAATGGATTCTAAGCTACCAAAAAGGGCTCAGAGGAATAAATCAGTAAACTGTTAAGGTAGTATATACAATGTAGTTACTTGGAATGTTGAATATTCAAGATCAGTGTACAAATGCCAATACTGGGTTTGCCAATTAACCTTGCTTCATGGTAAATCCAACTTCTTCCCCCTCGCCTACTCATCTAGCTATCGCGTTGCCTCCGTCTTTGCCAACTCACAACAACTACAACCGAATGAGAACAATTTTAGTCTTAGCACCCTCCTCTATTGCATACCATACCCTTACATCTTGAATCATTCAATTCACTGGTAAGGATGATGAGAAGCAAACTAAATCTAAAGCTCATCAATTTTTCAGATGTTTGGGTTGACTTATATTAAACCCTCCATTTACATAATTTTTCATATGTTAGTGCTTATGTTGTTTTGAACTTTCTTTAAATGGATTCAAGTAGAAATGTTTGATACACATTTCATTTATAAGTTTAACAGTAATTCCTAATCGATCCACCCAATCATATATTTCCCTTCAAGTCAATATGCAAAAGAAAACCACTAATGACTCCTTGTAGATGATCTTGCTACAGGACAGCCTCAAAAGGACCTTGAACTTGCATGGCACAAATTCCCCTTTCATGTTTTACCATTATTTTTCCCTTTCTCACTTACCTTTGGTTCCTTCCTTTACAAATGTTGGCACATCTACTTTATCTAAACCACTAAAATTTCATGATGAGATCTTATCCATAAAAAAACAGTAATCAATTTGCTGGTAATTACGATTTCCTATTTTCGAAAGTAGATCGAGACATGTCTTGGATGTACGAAGAAAATCAAGACTTCATATGTTGCATTTATGAGCACCACATACTATTAGGATCATTTTGGAGAAAATAAAGTGACATGCTAAATTACAGAAATTATGGGGAAAAACCATGCTTCAGAAGAAACGAAGAGATCATTGATGGCAGCGGGAAACCCACCTAGGAACAGACCATAAGCAAACTCATTAAGATGCCTTGAATCTTCACAAATGATGCTGATTAAATTTGAATCTTGAAATATGATTTTAGTTCTTTTTTTTCAGATTTCTCAGAAAATGGAGCCAAGTCAACATATGTCAAACAAAATAAGTTACGAATACGGCTACAAGGAAATAGAAACTATGCATATCTAAAGCGTCAGACCATAACAAAGCAAAGTGAAGATACCTATATAGTGTTTTGCATCCTTTTTTGAGGAACGGTGTAGTTCATCTGCACGTACTTGCAGTTCTGTATTGCAGCGCCACATAGACAGCTACAAGAAAATATTAAGTCACTGATGTATAAATCAGGAAATCAACAATATCTAATATATAACTTTCTGATTCACAAGGATGCAAAGGAAATTTCCGATAACCACAATGAGGAAACAATTTAGTACCTCAAACATTAGATCCTCAATCTGTGAATAGTACAAATTTGCAGCCATCATTCTAGCCAACAAGCATACATCTCTTGTTACTTCTGGAGTAACTCTAGGATTTCCTGCATGCATAAAGAAGCATTATAACATTATAAGTATCCCTTTCTAATTACATAATTATGTATTTTGTGAAAAGAAAAAATGGTCCTAGATAAGTAATTATTAACCAAATGAAGGTTTTTTTTAGAAATAAGGGACATGATCAATACCATCACGATCCCCACCCATCCAAGAAGAAAACTGAATAAGAGGGGCATTATAAGGCACACGTTCATTTATCCCAATGTTCTTCAATGCTGTATCAACACGACGTAAGAATTTAGGGACACCCTTCCATATGGTTTCATGGAAATAGCTCATCCCAGCCCGCATTTCATCTTGAGGCGTTGGAGGAGTTCTTCGGATTTCATCAGTCCTAAATGCTGCTTGAATCTACACAAAATCAAACCAATTGAAAAGCAGAACAGTAAGTACATAAGAGGAGTTGGAAAGGGACTGATATTAGAATGTAGCTTCAGGCTCAAGGAAAAAAACAATTAGGATCTAGATTGATAATATGCAATGGTTCATGACTGAAATTAAGTGCACATGTTGTGAAGAATTACCTCTCTCTGAAGGGCCTCATCAAGCTCCTGCTTGTCGTCAGGGGTAATATCTTTGGCATACAACTGAGTTAAACAAGTCCTTATCCTGAATAAAATGTCCAGTATGAATAAAAAACTGTCCCTTTTTCAGAAGATGGCACCTATTCTTACATTACAATTCCATTTGCCGGTTAAAATTCCGGGGAATGGTACACAAAAGGCATCTCTAAGACTTTCAAAGAAACATCTATCAAATCTCTGCCTCTTAGAGACATTGTCAGGATTAAAACACAAGTATGTTACACTTGCAGAGAAATTTGTAAAGTACAATAGTTCTTTGATAATAAAAATTGTATATGTTGGAGATAGGAAGCAAATATTGTCCAGTTTTACCTGGGATAGTAAGGGCAAAAGAAACTGACATGTGCCCGAAAATGACTCACCTTCGATGCTGGTATGTATTGTTAAAGAAAGACTTATGTCAAAAAGAGTACAGGAAGAAAAGGAAAATGGGAAACCAAAAAAACATAAGAAAATGATTATGCATCATTTTCAGGTATTTATACCACAAACAGACCAGGTCAATCAATGCATCTACACCGGTAATTAAAAATTGAAAGGAATTTAGAATTATATGTGCAGGAGGCATTTGGCAAGCAGATGATTATCAATAAATAGCAAACCTGGCATGCTTCTGAAGCAAGGATCTTCTGACTGACTGAGTTGGATGTGCAGTCAAAACCAGATCGACTGTCTGGTTTTTCAGAGCGTCAAAAACCTCTTCTTTGGATTTCTTTAGCTGCATCACGAGACGCTTGAGTGTTTCTTCTATGTCAGATTCAGTAATTGCAGAATTTTCATCAGCAAAATCTCCTTTTTTTAGCTTGATCCTCCTACGATAGGCAATCTGCACCTCCTCAGCCAAGTTGGCCAAGTTAAGCATGTGTGAGAATGATTTGGTGACCACAATTGTGTCACCCGCATCCAAACTAGTCAGCACATTCCCCAGCTCCACCAGCTTCTCAGGATCATGCTTCCCTTCATATTCAGCAGACAGCTCATACAAATCTTGAACCTGACAGCATACGACAGCCCAGGGTTTACCAGTAGTTTCGATTTGCAAAAAATTAACAGTCAATTAGCTCCCTCAGAATTCAAGAAAGATGGCATCAAATAATGAAAGCAAAATATCAAATTTGAGAGAATAACAAAGCTAAGACGAGCTTCAAATCTTCGTGTCTAATAATTACTTAAAATCACGATCAAATGACAAGGATCACGACAATATCCTTGCGTGCATTGGAACTGGCATTAGCATTTCCCCAACATCAGCCAGACAAATCTTGAATCAAGCTAAATAAATTTATTTAGAAGTTAAAAATCAGATACAAAATCACTCGAAATTCAAAAAGTCAATCCACCAACCATTTAACGGAAAGGGAAAACAAGATCCGATTCCTCCACAAATAAATGATGGATCAACAAAAGTACCATCGGACACAATACTCATCAAGCCAGTCGACCCGACCAACGGCCGTTTCCCTCAGGAATCCTCTCATCTTATCGTTCACGTCAAATCCATGGCGAAGATCGAATGAAATTATGAAGGTCAGATAACAGCGAATAGGAGCAGAGTTCGTATACCGTTTCTCTGATATCATCGCCATGCAGATCTTGAAGGATGTCGAGGAACCGATCCAAAAGGAGGGCGTCGTACTCGACCAACTTGTCGTCCTCGGAGACCTTCCCGGGGGCGAGAAGCCTCATGTGGGCATCAATGGATGCCATCTTCTCCACTCGAGACATCGCCGCGACCAATCTATCAGAACCTCGGCTTCCTGTCAATAAACAACCGTAGATCTCCAAACAAATAGCCACGGGACAAGGAGCAACGATGGGCACGAGAAAGCCGCCTTCGAAGCCCTAGATTTCTTCTCCACTCTTCGAGAGGGGAGTGAGGAGAAGCCCGTGAAGGAAGAGCAGGGGAAGGGTGGGAGAAGGCGACGGCGTGGGCTTTCGCGGGGGTCTATTTATAATGAACGAACCACCTTTTGCTGTCTCTCCTCTACCGTTTCGTTGCCAGTTAGCTTTACTCGCTGTTTCCTCACGACGAAATCCTACGCGCGCTTTATACGCACCAGACACGTTTATACATAATATATATTAATTAAAGAGATTTATATGCACTATAAATTAAAAGTGGTATGTGATTTCTTGATTTGTGATAGTAGTTATGATGTAAGGTGATGGTGGATGGCATGCTCTCTTATCCGACCGACATCATGAAACATGGGGCGGCATGGTTTGATAGCTTATCATTCCTCTCGTTGGTGGTATGTTCTCATCTCCGAAACATGTTGTCTTGATGATGCCAAGCTGCACTATACGATTGGTATTATTTATCATCACTATTTCCTCAAGAAGTGAAAGCCACTCATTTGTTAGTCAACTGAGGTGGCGTCACTCGCGCAATAATGCAACAAAGAAAAGAAGGGAAGCGAATGGGAATCACAAGCGTGACTCATGATGTTTCACTTCTCGATAATTGGTCTAAATAATTATTATGATACTAAATCATATGCATTGGACCAACTCTTATTATTATTATAGTGTTCCAACTTCAAGAGCAGGTTTTCAGGTATCAGATTCCTTGCAGGAACAATAGGATATCATGAAGCTAAGGAACCTCTTATCAAAAGAAGCCAACTAGCATATGCTTTAATGTCTCTATTTCAAGGGTTGCAGATGCACCAAAGGAATTAAATATATGAAGGCAAAGCCAGCTTTTTTTGGTATTTATACTTGCAGAAGGTAGGCAAGGTTGACAAGCACCCTCTGCAGCATGGTCTCCACCGAAGCATCTATTGATTGCACTTGTTGTGCCATTTGGTTATTCTTATTGCACGGAAAAGATAGAAGCGGAAGACAACTTTTCTTCCCACCAGATTAGGAAATGGAAGCTTCAATAGAAAATGTTACTCGATGTGTGATGCAGAAGGCTCAGACAAAACAGGTGTAGCCAGAGAGAGATATGGCCAAACCCATGTTGTCTCGTTATGATGGATAGGTGATTCCACCAAACTTTAGATATTGATGATATGTGGCTCTAAATAAAAGGTCGAGGACAGCATTCCATATGAATTTTGCTTTTCCCCGGGAATTGCTGCAACAGTACTTTGTTTAGTCAAGAGAGAGAGAGAGAGAGAGAGAGAGAGAC